TCAAGTTTCATTAAAAAATCTTAATTTGTGTTTCCAAAATGAGCTAAAGTCTTATTTGTAACATCATAAGAGTGAACTATCCCTTTTAAAACAGATATTGTAACAAGAAACTAAGTGTTTTTAAAAAATATTTTAATATGCTCACTTATAATGTTGATCAAGACAAATATTTGCCAAACCACATTCTGCCTTTCTCTCTGAAATGATTTGTTTGAATGGGCATCATTAGTTTTATTATCATTATCAAACTGCGATGGAAATGCAGACAGCAACAGGTCTATGGGAAAAAAGTTCCTAGGACAAATTGTTCCAGGTAATTTCAGTGAAAACGCAGCTATAAATGCTTTTGAGAAGAAGATGGTAATACAAATACCTGTCAAAAGATCAAGGAAAGTGTAATATATCATGTCATGACCACTTTAAATGGCATGTGGCCTTAGTTTGGAGAATAAGAATAAAGCTTTTGTGTTCGAAAAATGTACAAAGAACGTAGACCCTTGTATCATGGAGATTTATCGATCGGTGGGAGGAAGTGCTCGATATGAGATGTTTCAGAGTTTCCAAGTGTTGACTTTAATGTGCGGTGGAAAATCTTTCTAGAGCATTAACACCGTCTCTTTTCAGGTGCATTCGCCTGGAGACTGGCAAACACACCTGAGATTGCCAAGATGTGTGGAAAAATATTGCTGCAACCATAGAAGGCCCGACTCCTTGTTCCATTTATTGCACAAAGGATTGTACGGCCAGATCTGCCATTTGTTTGCGTTGGCCCGTGTACAATCACATCTCGTGTGGTGATGGATTACACAGCAGAGCCAGTATGTGTCATATTAAGCAAGCTTTCAAAACAGCACTAGGAAAAACCAAATAGCAGTGATTGTTTCCAAGTGTGTCTTGTGATTAATTCAGAGTTATAATGCTGATTCATATATTTTAGGAGTTTCTAGCACTAGCAGGCAGACCCAGCACCAACTGCTCTCTTTGTTGTGGTCCTTATGGACTCTCTTCAGGGCAGGAGCCCTTTAGACTAAAGAAGGATTGGAGTTGATTTGTTCTTCCCTCGTGACAAATGACATAAATACACATTAAGCAGTGAAAACGTTTGTTTTAGGAATTCTTTTAAAACACCTCCAGTGGCCAAGAAATGCTCCATAAAACAAAGACGTTGTAGTGCTTTTCAAGCTAGGATGAGGAGTGGGGGGTAGAGGAATGGAGCCTGATTGGGGTTTTGGAAGGGAGTAGACTAGCTCTGGCCACATGAAAACGCCCAGTCGCTTGCTCTCAGGGACTTTGACTTTGTGATTTCTCACGTCATTGCTCAATCACACACCAACACCCTTCACCGCGTTCAGGCATGCCGTATGATACACGCTTCGCTCTAGACCGCAGCTCAGCTAGCCCTGCAGTGTTTGTGGTGCTGATTGCTCTCTGGGATAAATCAACTCAAGTCATTCTGATGAAGACATAGTGAGAAAAGTTCTTGTGAAAGGAGAGAAGCTATAAAAGGCCCTGGTTACTAGTCTCAGCCTTAGATGACCCTCAGTCCGTTTGATGGCCGTCAGATTTACATTTACATTTAGCTGACGCTTTTATCCAAAGCGACTTACAATTGCTATATATGTCAGAGGTCGCATGCCTCTGCAGCAACTAGGGGTTAAGTGTCTTGCTCAGGGACACATTGGTGTCTCACAGTGGATTCGAACCCGGGTCTCTCCCACCAAAGGCATGTGTCTTATCCACTGCACCATCACCACCAGATGGATATTGAATGTCAGATGAATATTAGCCTCAGCCTCAGACGGACTGTTGGCTGAACGTCTGATACAAATGGCACACTTTTCTGGAAACACTTCAGGAGTTTCGAAGTTGTGATCTGGTTCATTTCTACAGGATGTCCGGGTGACGTGTGTGTTGCATTCTGTAACAGTCGGCCAGGAAACAAATGCCGTGACGTCAAAAACCCCTTGTGGAAGAAGAACGACGTTGTATTTATAACTGTGACAATGAGACTAAAGTATGTGACGTTCGTGGCTTCATCTAGGACCCTTCGAGTCATGACTCGAAAAAAGATTTGTTCATTTTGATGAACGAGTTTGAACAGGAGAGTCACAAACGCTCATCACAGAAGAGAGCAAGGCAAGCATATGAGCTTATAAAACTTAAACTTTTTTATTTATTTTTAAAATGACCAATCGTTTCGCTAGATAAGACTCTTATTCAACGTCTGGTGTCGTTTAAAGCCCTTTGAAGCTGCACTGAAACTCTCATTTGGATCTTGAACCATTCGGTTCCCATGCACTGAAGTCCATAATATGGAGAAAATCCTGGAATGTTTTCATCAAAAACCTTAATTTCTTTTCGCTGAAGAAAGAAAGACATGGACATCTTGGATGACATGGGGGTGAGTAAATTATCAGCAAAAGTTTTTTTTAAAAGTGAACTACTCCTTTAAATGCTAGTGATAATAGGTGAACTCAGGTGAACTACATGACTAATTTAAGTTATAACCATGACAACAAAGTAAGGGAAACAGAGGAAACTGAAAACAAAGTCCAAACTGTGTGTGTATGTGACACTAGGGACTTCGATGAGGAACGAACTGTGATTGGTTGCGGAACATGTCAGTCAAACGTCCTCTTGGGCGGTCCTTGGCCGAGAAAAGCTGCGATAGAGTCCAGTCCTTCTGCGGTCAGTCTAAAGGTCTGGCTACCATAGAGACTATAAGCTGTAAACTGTAACCTGATTGGCTGACTTCATACTTCATCCTTTTTTTACCTTTGAAGATCACCATTTACCCCAGTGTTTGCCAGGTTAGTTCAATCAAATCACAAACTATACTTCGGATCACTGCTATTTATTTAGTCCATTTTTGTAGAGTTTTAGATCAATCAACTCTTAAATGTCATGAACCTCCTTGAAATCCTGGACACCCTTGGGGCTTTTGCAATTGCCGGTGGAGCATAATCAAACAATTTTTTTTTAACTCTGATGGATTCAGTTTCATCTCTCAACAGGGTTTTGGTGGTCTCCAGGAAAAGGGGGACGGAGAGGTTCACTTGCAGGCTATACGTATGACTCCAATCAGACGACTTCTCTGGCCCTCTGTCAGTAACAGACAGAATAAAACGAGGGGAACGTAAACCAGAACACTTAAGAAATTCCACACACTTTTTAGAAGAAAAGCCCAGATTTGATGGAATGTGTTCTAACATTTCCTCCACTGGTTTGTTCTGCCACACATGAACACATTTGCTACAGTAGGGCATGCACACACACTTCTAGACACACTCAGACACAGCTGCCCTTTTAGAAAGTCACGCTAGACTGGTGAGAGAAGAAACGCAATGACAGGCTGACCAGCTGTAAAAAGGGCGTTGGTAAAACATTTTTTGCAAAGGCGGGACGAATAGAATGAGAAGTCGAAGAAAGGAAAGAAAGGAACAGCCAGCTTTACACTGGAGGGTTGACAATAATGCTGGTGTGCACCTCTTTGTCTTGGCAAGCACTGATGCATTGATTTGAAAATCATTGACATGCTATTTTTAATACACTATGATGCTTTAGGATGGACAGTATGCAAACTGACATTCTTCCTAAGATGTGCAAGACTTGAAGTAGCTAAATTACGATTAGCATTCTGCAGATTAAATTACACTAATCTATATTAGTTTTCCCCATACTGCTTCAACTCTATTTATTTGGACTCACCCTAAAGGTTGACAAGTCATATCATTTTTGTTAATTGCATGAGCTAAATGTAAAGTTATTTCTGGAATGTGAATTAAAATAATAGGGTTCTCAATGAACCAAATATCAATTGAATTAATTACATGATATGCTTATTTACTAAACAAATGAATCATTATTATTATTGTGAACTTGTTTTTTGATACTTCTTATTATAGGTACTCTCTAAAATATGCTGGGTTGTTTCAACCTAAATTTGGATGAAATATGGACAAACCCAAATATTGGGTTAAAAATTGAATCACAAAATTTACAGTTGAAAGTGAAAGATGCTTGAAATTAAAAAAAATGCTGGGTTGTTTCAACCCAAATTTGGGTCAAATATGGACAAACCCAAATGTTGGGTTAACATTAAATTTTAACCCAACAATTGGGTTTGTCCATATTGGACCCAAATTTGGGTTAAAACAACCCAGCATTGTTAGAGTGTATAAGTTTTTGCTGAAAACAACCTTTTCTGTGTATGACCGAGATGGTGGTCTGAATATGGCAAATAAGTTCTCAAATATCACCCAGGTATGACATTTCAAAAAAGAAGCAAACATTTGATGGATCCATAAAAGAGCTCAGTGTTTCAGACAAAAACTATTAGCTGTGAGTGTTTTTCAACACTTACACAGCTTAGTTTACACAGTTATCAGAAAGATAACTGTCTCAGAAAACACTGAGATATCAGAAAGATCATTTTCGCTAAAATAACCCTTAAACATGTTCTGAAATCTTCCTGTAATCTAACCATAGTATGTCCTGCTATAGATACATTGTTTTCCATCTCGGGTGTCTTTTCTCAGACAGACATCACTGTTGGAAGATCAGTGGGCTTTAGATTCCATCCCTTTGAGACTTTAAGTGTCTTACTTTGCTTCAACATGCAGCTCAAGAACCATCGCAACTTAGGGCTCTCCATGTCTGTGAAACCAATCTTCATGGTCCTTTTGTGTTTCACTTTATTCTCCTCTTGAGAAACACTCGACACTGGTTACTTTTTATAACTCATAGCAATCCGAAACAAGCACTCATATAACGTTTTTAGTGCATGCATATGCCGCATGCTTTTTATTCCCCCAAACAGTGTAAAAATCTGAGCGTGACAAAGAGCAAAGAGCAAAGACCCGTACTTTAAATATGAAAATATATAATGGTATAATGTGTTCAGTATGCATGCTTGAAGGAAACCATATGAAAAAGGCAGACAAAGAACTCTCTGTGTTCCAACTCCTGCTCGTCCACTCCCCCTTTTCCCTTCTTTCTGTCTGCGAGAGAGAGAGAGAGAACGAGAGCGTAACTTCATGTGAGACGGGGGGGAGGTGAACACAAGGAGGACCTGAAAAAGGGCTGTACAACTAGCCATCACATACACACCGAAGCACTTGGGAGTACAGGTGAGTCTAACATCAGCTCCAGAGCATTTCATTGAGTTTCTCCTGCGTTGTGTTGTCAGTGAAGAGCTTTATCACCTGTTGAATCTCAGACTACATCTTTCAAGAACCTCCTGCATGAGGTAGCCAGCTGCAACCGGGAGGAATGTTTCTGAAGTCGATCTTTCTAAATATTTGGGTTGAATTAATTGAGGAAGTTAACTTGTTTCTCCTCCTGGTGGAGGGATAATTTCACCGGTGATGGGCTTTAAGTGTTCCCTGTTTGGCTGTCTTTTGTCTTGCCTGTGTGTGGTTCTTGTGATGATAAATTTGAGCAGCGTGCTGTAACAGTAGAACAAATATCCGGCGCAGGAGTTTCTTAGCGACAGTAATGACTTATACATTAGGCAGGGGTTCTGTTTAGCGGAGACTTCGTGCTGAGCATCTGTCACTGACCTTTATCTGATCTGAACTTTAATTTGCTAGACTTATTAACTCACAGCTTTTAAATGGTACTAAAGTTTTATCTGCTATTTGGATCTGCTGGAAGAGTTTAGTGAACCCAAATGTGGGTAAAATATGGATAAACCCAAATGTTGGGTTAAAAATGTAATTTCAAAGTTTCAAGTTTCAACTTTGTATTGCATTTTTAACCCAACATTTGGGTTTGTCCATATTCGACCCAAAGTTGGGTTCAAACAACCCAGCATTTTTAGGAGTGTAGATTTATTTTTTATGCTCGTTAATGAAGTACATGAGTCATTAAAATTGAATTGAAATGCTGATGCAGTATTTTCAGTCTTCTTTCTTAGTGATTCTCTCCAGACTTTGCTATTGAACGCACATCCCAATGAGAACCTGCACATTTTATGAAGTTGTTTTTCAGTATAATTTATATATGTGCCTGCTATATACTTAGTACCCTTATGAAGCAGGCACCATGTCTCTGAGCCTCATTGAAGTTTATAACTAATGGTGTTTTTGCTGTCTGTCATCAACCTGTGCAAGCCAAGGCATGCTGGCTATCTGATGAGAATTACTCTCAAAGAATGCCAAATGTGGAGTGCAACCCCCAAATTATTTTTCAAGCCACTTACAGGTGCTTCAATAGGCCTTTGTACGAAAGAAGCCGAGATGATGTGCAGGTCTCTGCATTGTAGTGTGGCGTACGGTTGAAGGATCCGGCCCTTGAGGGATGTAATGGATCTGGGAGATTAGAGAGACCTGTCGGGCCCCGGAGGTCTATCAAAACGCTGTGTCAGACACCGTTTCGTACACTATTACTGCTCATATTATGCACTGTAACGGATACAGCCCAAAACACACACAAATGCTATCTCCCAGTACCTATTCGGTGCCTCAGGACTGATAACGCATGGAATGTGTTGGGTCGAGCTCAATGGGGTTCATTAGAATGGTGTTTCAGAACAAGAATGCCCTCATTGGATTGGAATGAGTCATGAATCAAATGATGGCAAATGGCGATACTGTATGTGAGGGAGCCGGTAGGCTGGGAAGTCAATGGTGTAATGTAAATACCTGCAAAGTGAAATCAGAGAAGATAAGCATACTTTGACACTTAAAGAGAGATTAAGATTTATCATTAAGCTGACCCTTTTCCCCTGCAAATCCTTGAGATTTACCTTCAGCTTTTAACCTTCAAGGTGATTTGGTGAGTAAACTAAATAGATGATTGCTAATTAGCTGTGAACGTTACAAATTATAGTCTTGAGAGCTTCCCTAAGTGACGAGACATTTTTTTGACATGTTTTTGAAAGAAATCTTTTATTCTCACCAATGATGCATTTATTTGATCAAAAATGCAGTAAAAATTTGAATATATTTTAAAATGTAAATTTTGAATTTTCAGTCTTCAGTGTCACATGATCCTTCAGAAATCATTCTGATATGTTGGTTTGCTGCTCAAGAAACATTTATTATTTTCATCAATGTTGAAAACAGTTGTGCTGCTTAATATTTCTGTGGGAACTGACTCCAGGATCCAGGACTGAATTGAAAGTTCAAAAGAACAGCATTTATATGATATAAAAATATTTTGTAACAACTGTTTTTACTGTCACTTTTGGTCATTTCAATGGATCTTTGCTACTATAAATTAAAGTATTATAAAAGTAATAGAAAAATAAACTTTTACCCACTCCAACACTTTGAAGAGTGTATATATGAAGAGTTCAGATGCAAAAGCCTCTAAGTGCCATTTGAAATTTTCTTCTAAAATTGTCATTTTTATCAAGCTTGTATATTTAAGTTCAGTAATTTCACTTAAATGGCAATGAAGATTACCTATTAATTGTCATTTAAGTGAAATTACTGAACTTAAATGCACAAGCTTGATAAAAATGGTCATTCTAGAACAAAATTTCAAATGGCACTTAGAGGCTTTTGCATCTGAACTCTTCACATATATATATATATACAATTTTAGATATTAATATTAATTAATATGAACACTAATTTCAATATGCAGTTTTTTTATTAATAGAAAATAGTTAAATGGCTAGTTTGAAATCAGATCTGTAAGTCATTTTATCTGGCAGTGTATTTATCTGTATCTGTATTCGCATTCTGTACAGCATTAGTATCTATAATGTATAACATCCACAAGTGTCGTCAGAGGTCACATTTCTCGGTGTAATGCATTACAAAACAAAGCAAGCTCTTTATGTTCCGTCCAAAGCAGAGTAAGGCAGAGAGCTTGTGAGGCTTTTATGGGCGAGAGTGTTTGTGTTGAGTTGATTGTCTTTATTTGAGGAGGATGGCAGGGAGGGCTTGAACAGCGGGTGTCTTCTTTGTAGCCACTTTAAGCCGCCTGTTGGAGTGGGCGTGACATAAACTCCTAAATATAAACGCACAGGGGTCAAGCTAATCACTCCAAGACTGCTCATTTGTCATAGGTGTTATTAGTTAAAACAGTGTTTGATAGGGGGTGATGAAGACTAATGGGGTCTTGTTACTTCGCATGACCCTCGGCCTTGTTGTGGCCTACAGGATGTGAGAGAGACAACACACAGCTGACAGGGTGATTCAGTGCTATTGAGACTAGACTGTGCTATTTGTACAAATGCCAATTAACACACTGTCCTGTTTCAGCATGCATGTCCGATAGCATAGACTCACGTTTGAGTCAAAGCCTTTCCTATGAGAGAAAATTCATTAATTGACTAAACCGACAGCTGACATTGCATATGGCTTTATGAAACCAAATGATAAAATATAGTGACTCCACAGTTCAATCTTCATAATCGGATAGTTAAAAGAATAGCTCTTTTTTTTTTAAATGTTTTATTCTGTGATCATTTTCACCCTCATCTCATTCCAAACCAGTATGACTTTCTAACCAGTTTTGACTTAAACTGAAACACATTTATACATTTACAAATTATATATATATATATATATATATATATTAAAAGTCTGTAGCCACATTAGCTTTATAAACTTTACAATTGAACAAATATTCCATTTGGAAATCATTCTCCTTAGCTTTGTGGCACAGATTTTATGTTTTCAGCTTCGAAAAATATTGACCTTCCTTCCTTAACAGGCCGTTTTAAGTCAACCTCCTTACTGGGCAACACCTGTTCCTTTCATTTTCCGGTCTCCTTGATATTAGTCAGGAAGAAAATTAAATATGCATTGTTTCAACATGTAGGAAATGCAGTTCATTCCTCCCACTGATATGACAATGGGTGGGGTGTCATTTTCACAAATGATATCAAAGGAAATACCCCTCCATTCCTTTGGAAATTTTCCTTTATGATGTTTCTCAATCTCACCTCAACTAGTTCTGGTTGAAAATGCTTTAGATGTTTAATGTAGTATATCTGGATGTAATTTGTAGGATATTCTTTATTTTTATGAATGTATCAGTAAACGTTGACTGATAGTTTGCATCTTATATGTTTCAGGAATTCGCAGATCACTGACTCCTTGGATCCTGGCAGCACCGGAAGCTCATCCATTGGCCTTTCATTTCTCTGACACAACTAGAGGTTTAGACATTAAGCCCTGTCTGGGTATGTCATACCTGCTCGAGGAGACTCTCACAAGCAAATAAACTTTATGTCAGCTCTGATGGTGGGTTAAAGATCATATCGCTTGGCTTAAGCTACCCAGAGAGATTTAATCAGTAATGCAAGGATAAAGAAGGAAAACTACAGAAACCATCTGTTTAGAATACAAAAATATGGATTGAGCCTTGTTTGAAAGTAAAGTGATTACAATAGCCACAGTCAGAATGTTTGGACGACCTTTCAGCTGAATGTGTTTTTCATGTGCTAATGAATCGACAGGAAAGCACCAAGCTTTGCCCTTCTTCTTGACATTGTTGAAACGTTTTAAAAGCAGGGGCTACGCGTGCCTTTAAAGAAACAGTCCGTCTCGGAGGGGATTGCGATAAACTCAAGGGACGTGTTCTGGTGACTGACTCAAAACGAAAGACAAATATCTGGATAAGAGATCGAAACCAGACTCAAATAGAACAGTGGATAGTCTTCCATCCTTTGCCGCATTTGCAAAAGAGCAAGTTGTGAAATTTTCTTGGCACTTTTCCATGGGAACTGGTCCAGGGTGCATTGAGAAGTACCTCCAGGGAGGTCTTGTTAGAGTTTGAATAATATTGCGTGGATTGAAAGCAAAAGTGTATTCCTCAGCTCATCTCCGAAGGATTACCGTGAAGAAAAACGTCCAGCAAAATGTAGAGCTTGATCCTGCTTTTGATCCTTGGTTCTTCACAATTTGGGAAGCATAAAACAGCAAGGGGATTCCAAAACCACCTCATAAAAAGGCAAACTTACGCCCCAGCTGAGAAAAAGAAAGCTTTTGTCACACCCAGACAAGAGTGCCGGTTAAGAGGGTGCAAAGCGAAAGAACAGCGTCTTACACGAGGACAGAGCTGGAGATGGAGTGCAAGCATGAGCCTGCAAGAAGAGGGGACAGCTGGGGAGGGCCTACCACTACAACATCCTCTATCCTCGACAAGACTGGAGCAAAGACATCCCTGGAGAGGCAGAGTACTAACATCTTGGAGAAAGATGACCACTGTGGGGTCAAAGCAAAGCCAGGCTTGAAGTCTTGCCAGATGGAGCGGAAAACAAGTAAATATTTTTTATCTTGTTTACAACTTTGAATCTAAAGAACAGGATATGTTACAGTACACTTGTATCACTTTAGTGTAGGAATAATGTACAAAAAATAGATAAATGGGTGATCAAGAACCTACAGAAGCATATTGCATTCACTTAAGGAAACAAAATACTCTGTTTTTCTGAATTAACGAGTTAATTATCTCAGAATTACGAGATAATTTTTCATGGAAAAAAGCTTTTGCTGTTTTTCTGAATTAACAAGTTAATTGTCTCAGAATTACGAGATAATGTTTCATGGAAAAAGTTTTGCTCTTTTTTCTGAATTAACGAGTTAATTATCTTAGAAAACAAGTTAATTATCTCAGAATTCCGAGATAATTTTTCATGGAAAAAAGTTTTTGCTCTGTTTTTCTGAATTAACTAGTTAAATTATCTCAGAATTACTAGATAATTTTTCATGGGAAAAAGTTGTTGCTCTGTTTTTCTGAATTATTGACTTGATTATCTCAAAAATTAGTGAACGCAATACGCTTCCATAAGAACCCGACATGGCTGTTTAATATAAATAAATGAATTCAGTTTAAATTATTATATTATATCAGGGTTTCCCAAACTTGGATTTTTGATATGAAAAGCTAATAAGTAAATCATAAACATAAAACCTAAACAAATTGAATCTATGAAATGAATGCAATTAATACAAAACACTACTTTATTAGTTTTTTTTACCTGAATATAACATGACCACAACCAACATCAGAAGGGAATGTGTTGTTAAATTATTTAAATATTAACTTCCACATAAATAGTTTAGGTCAAAAGGATTCAGTTGACCAAAAATGTTTGGGAATCACTATTATATGAAAAAAAAGACAATAAAGTGCAATGACATAGGTCAATTACAAATCAGAATCAAGGATTCAATAGAGTCACAAAATCAAATTCAAATAAATGAGTCAAGACAAAGTTGAAAAGTTGAATGGTTTTACATTCAGAGAGACAAACACCATCCATCAGACAAACTCAACATGCTGCTATCCCCTAACTGTTTAGACATCAGCTCTTACTGAACCCTCAATGACACATTTGTTTCCTCACTGCCACAGATGAGCCCTACAGTAATAGCTCTTCTGTTCATACCCACTAACCATAATGCTCAAGCTGTGGGTAGTATTATCTGGAAAGAATGCATAATAAGGTTTGCAGATGACCAGGCAAGTAGGCGGCAGTTCACACTACTGACTGTGCGACAGAGGGGTTTTACAGCTCTACTGACGAGAATCCAGGGCCATTTCAGATAGTCTAAAACCGTTTTGCAGAATTCCAGAGGTTTCTATGATGTTGTCACAGTTTTGGAGTGTGTAAAATGGCGAGAGGGGAGGATATGGAGAGGCTGAGATGGAAGAGCTAATTCTGTCACTTTATATTGGTTTCATATTGTTCCTAGGAAGTAAATGTCAGCGTTTTCTCTCTTTTTCTTTCCTTCTCTCTCTCTCTCTCTCTCTCTCTCTCTCTCTCCTTGTATGGGATTGATGTCTCCACACAGCATCATGATTTGATGAGATGCAGAATGTTATGCTTGTCATTCTTGCATCTCCAGATGCTGATAGCATGAAATTGGAAAATTATACAGTGTGGTTCAAAAGTCTGAGAGCACATACGGTTTCTATTTTCCCCCATAAAGTTTTAGTGATTACTAATACAAAATATTTTTGATTCTACTCTATTTCTAAGTCATTAATCAAATAAGCAATTGTGTGAGTTTGAACATGAACTCTTTTGTACAAACAAAAATGTTCTTCCATTAAAGCACAATATTGTTGGAGAACATGATCATGAGCTTTTACACAAAGAGTTCATGCTGTCATTTATTTGCATTAAATTAGAAAAATGCAAAACAAAAGCATTTTCAATTGGGGTCTTGGACTTTTTGACCCCATTTTATATGATGAATGAATGCATTTGTATTTAAATGACAAATCTCTCTTCTTAACTATTTATTTTGATTTAGAGCTGCAATTGTGGTCATAATTAAGTTTACATAATGTACCCCTTGCAAAATATGCAAAATCTTAATTTAAATAAATGAATCCCTTGTCCCTTTTATGCAATTTCAATTCAATTCAATTCAAAGGGGCTTTATTGGCATGAAAGTTTTTCAAACAATGTTGCCAAAGCATATACAACATATACAAATACTCTATACACATATATATACATATACACACATACACACACACACATGCACATATACATACATAAACACTTAACACAATATTTGGATATATTTGTGTGTGCGTGTGTGCGTGCGCGCGTGCGCGTCGATCACTCATTCACTGCCCCTCAGGTTGTGGCATGTTTGAATATATTGGGCAGCAAGATAAGTTTTGTCTCCTTCTCCCAGGAGAAAGTTTAACTTAGAAATGTCATCCAGGTCTATGAAATTTGGGATTATATAGTTAAATTTGTTATAGTAAAGGTCCCTTGTGTCTTTGAACGCTTCACATTTTATGCTCCCTCTTATCTATCTATTTTCTCAACTTAATTTGTATTATCAAGCTCTTTCTAGCATGTACAAAACATTTTGTTTTATTTCTATATTCACAGGGGGAAAAAAACAGCAATATATAAAGAACAATAACATTGGATGAGAATGAGATCGTAAAATACAAAAGGAGACAAAAAGTAATAAAGTAAAAAGATGTTATCAGGCTGATGATTTGCAGGCTGTCTGTCTGAAGCCAGATAAAGTACAGAAAAAAAAAGACTTCTATCCAAATGAATTGCCCCCACTCCCAGTTCTTCCATTAAAGGTGTCCATTTCTCCATAAACTGACTCATTTGGACACTTAAACTATGTGTTGTCTTTTCCATCACATAATTATTTTCTTTCTTTTTTCAATAATTATTGACATTTTGCAGCTTCTGCATTGGACATGTAAACGTATGACCACAACTGTAGTTTTTGCAGTAATTTAGCAGTATTTCTTTGGATCAGAATGGATCTGTAGATGCTATTCTGTGAACATAGCCCTAAATAGGGCTGGGCAGCGCAGTCTCACCCCAAAAAGTCATATAACTGACGTTTTGGGACGTCTTTTGACCATACGTCAATATTCGCCTTTTTAGGGCCCCCTTAAACGTCGCTAGATGGCGATCCCGGGCCGTCATACAACTGACGCTTTACCTTTAACGTCAGTTAGGTGACGGGTTAGGTTTAGGGTTAGGTTTAGGTTTAGGTCTGGGGTAGAGTTAGGATCCCATAACCTCATCTACCGACGTTTAAGGGGGCCCTAAAAAGGCGAATATTGACGTATGGTCAAAAGATGTCCCAAAACGTCAGTTATATGACTTTTTGGGATGAGAATGTGTTGGGCTGGGAGGAGTCTGTATGATATATCAATATATTTTTTAGAAACTATGGATAGGTAATAGAGTGTTGCGGGGATGATTAGAACCCAGAATAGTAATTTGCCATTGGTTCCCTTGAGATTTTCCTATGGGGTTTTTCTATTTATGAGTAAAATAAAAGCCTGTGATAAACATAACTTGACGATACTTTAGTGCAGGCTAGGGTTGTGCCGATAGACGATAGTATCGTGTATCGACGATAGTCTGACATATCGCCGATGGCAGATGCCTTTGACGATATCAATACGATAATTAGCTCGTTTTACCATAATGTATGTATTAAATTATTATTATTTGGCCTATTATTATTATTATAAAGCTAGTATTGTTATTAAATGAATATTAGGAACTACAATCAATTTGCCTTGCCTAAATTTACAACGACATCACCTCATAACAATTGCAACACACGCACTAATGAGGACTCCTCTAAGAGAATGTTTTTAAAACAGACTAAAAAACATCCCACATCAAAATTTAATTGCAAGGTGATCCATTCACAAATTATCAAGTGTGCTCGTTTTAACAGACGCAAAATTCAATTTCCTACAGATCCAATTCCAAGATGAAAACGGCATCGTTGTTCGTCAATATTTGTTTCCGTAACACATTAACAAAACGTTTAATGACACTAACACTAAAAACAATACAATTACTAAATAGTATTAATAATAATATCACTAAAATAGTATTATAGTTACCGTTATCATCGTCGTCTCTGAGGGAACGCGGCGTTAATGCAGATGCCAAAAGCAGTCCGGTTTTACTTTCACTTTCAGAGATTGAGCGCGTTTACATGCGACGACTTTCTTAACCTGATTATGTTGAATAAACTTGACAATGCATGTGGTCATGTAAACGTTTCCTTTATCTGAGTCAAGTCATAAGTATAAGTATAAACCGATCGACTCAGCTAGACGTTTGGCCCTTGCTCTTGTTTCTCCCGGCATTTAAAACACATTAACCCGCGTACGGGCTTACTGAAGTGCGCATGTGAAGTGCGCAGAGAGCGCACTGGTAGGGGGGCACATATCGCAAACTCCGACTTTTTCTGACCCAAGAAATTATTAAAACGTGTTTTCATCTCGTGCAGAAATAAGCCCTAGTCAAAATGTTGCATGTAACGGCATGAGGATAGGCTAATGTGTCCGTAAATTTCCCGTTGACAAACAAAGGATTAGGATCTCTCTTTTTTTTTTTTTTACCTCACTATACCAGGAAATAACCTGATCCTATTAATAAACACTCCACCTTTGCTAGCAAAATAGAAAAAAAGATTCTCGTATATAAAACGAAGTAGGCTAATAAAACAAGCAAATTAATGAGTAGGCTAAATAATCAAGTTAATAATCAAATGTTAGCCCCGCCCCCTCACGATACTATCGTGTATCGCCGATCTCACAGGCTGACGATAGGACGATATGAAAATAGAGCATATCGCCCAACACTAGTGCAGGCTTTATTTAACATGTAAACTGAAAAAACCATAAGAAAATCTTGGAACCAGTGGCGAATTAGTCTTCCATGTTCTGACGTCATCCCTGCACCACTCTATGCCGTTTATATCAATATACAGTATACAGTAGTACAGTAGCATCTGAAACATAGCGGAGTGAGCTGCCGAGCGGAAAGTGCATAATCCAAATTGTCCTAAACATGACACATGCTTTATATCAAGGGCTTCAAAATAACTTGTAAGATAGTAAACAGCTTGCCACATCAGATGCTCTGACAGATACTTATGCTGTTTAATGCATTTGAGATTTCACAGATATATTCTGTAGCTGGAAATGTTAGAAAGTTATGCAAATATTTCCTTTTTATTGTCAGGAGAGCTTTATGCAAGCGAGTCTTTTCTTAACTTCACTCACAGACTTCAGTGAATGAGTGCCGTCCGACAGATGGAGTGCAATTGAATGGGAGCACAATAATTCTAACTAAAATATACATTTTGCTAAAATATTTGTTGTTAGACATTAAATGTGCCATATTGGATTTTTATCCAAATATGAAAAGTAGAAAATGCAGAGATAAATACCGTATATTGCCATTCATTCATTCATTCATTCAAGAAAGAGTCTCCTACAGGTTTTCTGGACGTTGAAATGTAATTGCACATTCATGTGGGTTTTTTTTTTAAGTTCTTAAACAAAGCTCATCACTCCACACTCGCTCACTTTTCCCAGAGGAAAAGTGTTATTTAATCCCATCCTCCAACTGGACAATTACATCCGACAGGGGAATCTGACCTTTGATATACAACCCCAGGCCGGCCAGGTCCCAAAATCCTCAAGCTGTGAGGGGGTTTCCCTCATCTGTCTGAACTAAGAGCCCACATATCACCGGCAGCTCAGTGCCAAGAAAATGGGAACATTCCTTCTTTACGTCCATTCCTACCACTACTTTTTAGGTTAGAGGGAGTTCCTGTCTTTTCCTTCATGTTAATGATAAGTTAAGCCTGAGCGATATGAGTCAGGTAGGATGGTTCAGCTAAGCAAGCAAACTTCTGCGGTCTAAACTGAACTCCACTCTTAAGGCTCAGGTGTCCATCCACCCAAGCGAGCGTGTTCGCCAAACGGCTCTCCCCCCTGAAACTTAATCTTCTGAAAGAGCTGACACATTGATTCTATGCAAGACACTGCTGAAATGTGGTCACTTAATTTGGCTTGGAACAGAATGTGCAAACTTACGGATTCTGTATGATTATTTAGGTGCATCCAAGGCCGTAGCAGTCATAATTTGTAAAATTCGGTGCTCATGCCTCTTTGTAAGAACGCTTTTAAAACGTTCCGGCATCCATGGTCTATGGTAATGAAAACAGAGCTTAAAATGATTTTTTTTTAATTTTTTACTAATTCTAATGTGTTTTGAAACCCACACGATTTCTTTCGTCTGTTGAACACAAATTAATATATTTGATAAAAAGTCAGGGAATGACAGCCTCAGACTCCATTCACTTTCATTTCATATTTTCCTCATCCAATAAAAGTGAATGGGCTGTCATTCTGCTTCTGCTTTGGTTTTCCAAGAAATTGGTTTCATGGTCATGGGGGTTTGGAACAACATAAGGGAGTAAACAATGACAGATTTTTTATGTGAACTATGCCTTTGGGAAAGATTTGACAATTGACATAGAATGTGAAAATGTAGGCTACATGCTGCATGTGAGTATTAAGCAAATTAGCAACGCACACACACACACTTTTGGGTACGAATTTCAGGCAGGAGTCAACTGAAAGTCTGAACTGTGTTGTCAGGACAAAAGTATTTTCCATCAAAGTCAGGTTGGGGCAAGTTGTCACGGTTTTAATGATTTATTTAAAAAAAAAAAAACACACACACACATTATGCGGTCTCATTCAAGAGCCATGAAAAACCATAGGCACATGTTTAAAAACAACCTACAAAACCACTGCAAGACAAATTATTTTACGAATTGAACTTTTGGCTCAAAACAAACCTTATAGTTTCTGACTGGCTCTTGTGACAACTACCCCGCGTGACGATATCCGTAGCCTATTCTGTTTGTTCTGGTTCTTCACAGTTAAGAGGATAGGAGAGTAGTACAAAACCAAAAATCAGAGGAAGAAAAGTCAGCCAGGAACGTCACACAGCATAGCCATCCTTAAAAAGCAAAAGGGAAGCGCCAACCTCGTCCAAATCGACCTCAGCCTGCCCGCCTCGATGCGCATTTGGTGCTCGCGAGAGATCATCACTCGCAACGACACGAAATCTGATCCAGGCTCGCGCTGCTGAAGAGGGAGTGAGTGGAGGAACATATGAAGTTAAATTAGAAAAGCTCGCGGAGCAGCAACAAAAGAGACTGTATTCAGAGTTAATTAAGGTAAGAGAAGTTTAGTTAGACTCGACATATTTGTTTAAAGGTTTAAAAGCTTTATTTCCGTAAAAAGGGATTGGTGAAAGGCATGCGGTGGTGAAGTCATGATAAATACCTTCTGAGGTTTGATCACATAGATCATTCCAATTATATCATATAAAGTAGCTATACTTCTGCATTAAAGTGGTGACAGTAGAGCAACATTTCATAATGAATCCATGCTGTTTTAAAAGAAAAATCAGATTGGTTGCTTTAGGGATATAGATAAAGTTTACACAAGTGTGTTTAAATGAAGAGATGGACATTGTTTTGAAGTTAAAGTGACAAGTTGCTCGATGGACATGTCAGGCATTGTGTATTTTAACAGTTTGGTTGTACATTTATTTTGTAATCTAAAATGTTTCATGTGGTAACATATACATTAACTGGTTTCTTCATTCTTTAAAAAAAAATGACAATCTGGATGTTTACACCAATTATTTTTAATTGCTATTATTTTGCGAACATTAACACGATTTATTGTCATTTAAAAAGTAGAAAGCATGCAGTCAATGAGTCACAGTAACTCCTTATGGAATAAATGGTCTGGCTCTGATAGTGTGACAGGAAAATGTAATTCTTTTAAAATAATAAGGAACAAGTGTAAACTGTGCATCATATATATATATATATATATATATATATATATATATATAATTTTCTTATTTAGATTGTTTAAATTCTTGGGGACTGGGGAAACATGCAAATGAAAATAAAAGAAAAGAGGAAAGTTGCATGTGTGTTTATGGCTGACTAGTGGATTTTGCTGAAAGTTTTTAAATGGTAAATTATTTTAAATAACATAAAGATGAATATCTGTAAAGAGGAAACATGGAAAGCTTTATATCACAGTGCTAGAGTTTGTTTTGCATAGCCTGAGTAAAAAAGAGGTGTTTTTTTTTTTCTGGTGAAATAAAAGGCAGATGCATATTATTCATGCTCTATTATAATTTTATTTCATTTGCTTTGAAAGCTCCTTTGATTCTGGCAATCTTGCACATGAAACAAATGGGATAGATTTAGAACTGTTGGTTTTACTACCTTTTTAAAGAAACTCTCTCTGGCTCTGGCAAGACAAAGAGACCTACCTGCTTGGACGGAGAAAATTGTTTGCAAGTTTTTCTGCGAAGTATGGGGTTGAGGATAAAAGCTGAAAACTACCTCAGGGAAACCTTGAGTGGTTAATTATTCAAAGGTCTATTAGGGAAACAGATTGTGTTTATGTTGCACAGGTTAACCACGCTTATATTAAGTGAGTGAAGCCGTTCTGCCAGTGATGTAATTGTTAACAGTCTGTTTCTCAGGATGTGATGTTCTGGTATAAGATGTTGAGGGTTTGTGTTTTAAAAGTTCCTTTCCTGAGGCACTCACTCTTTTGTATGCAGGATCTTGTTTTATTTACTGAAACCTTGATGCCACATATATCACTGCAGGTCAAAGTTCAAGCATTTAAATGTATACTGTGTCTTGTAAGTGATGATGGAAAGGCATGAACCTGTCAGGACGTCAGCGTATAAACCGATGTCTCCTGTGCCTTAGAGAGATTTCACAAGGTATGCTGTAGTCTCAAGAGGGAATTTTCTCGGCAGTTGCGGAATGCTAAGGGAGGGACTAGAGCCCATGGTGAAGGAAATACTTTCTCCAGCTCGGAATGAGGCTTTTTAGCCCAGTCAATAAACCTTTGCCATTTTCAACAAATAGATGACTGTTTTAACATCCATCTTTGCCAAACTATGGGTAGAACTGCAAATATCAGCGTCACAATTTATTTACAGAAGGTTCTTAGAACTATAAATGTGTGAAAATGTTATGCGGTCTCCAAAAGTTTGCCCGCATGGATCGTGAATCACAGCAAACTGTGAAAATAATCATTTCGAATGAAAATACTTTAGCTTTAAATGTCAGCATTTCTTTTATAAGCCTGTCTGCAAAAATGACTATAACTAATATGATTAATCTTTTTAGTAGGGTGACTCATGGAAACTAGAATTACTTGAAAAAGATATATAATACTCTTGACTTTTAAGATAATTATACTCCCATTTGAGCACATTGCTACTATAATTGTAACTTATACAGCACCCAAATGATTGTGACAGCAATGGTGAGATCATGAAATAAATTAGGTTAATATTTGCCAAATCCTTTCCCATTACTCTCTCTATAAACAGGCCTGTGATATTATATGCATCACACTTTGTTTGTTAGGCAGAAACAATTAAGTGCATTTTAAAATAGCACTTCCCTCGTAAGACTAAGTGGTATGTGCTAAAAAGTACATTTATAGTTGAGTTAAACAACTCTTTACTTGTCTGTGAAGTTGCCATAGCTGTGAATGTATTACATTGGCTAATTTTCTCTTGGGTTGATTATTGTTTTATTCTACCATTACAGACCTCAGCAGAAGTGCCAGTTTGTCAGAGAAGGAGCTGAAAGAGGCACGTACCAAGAGTCAGATCATTGCTGCTCAGCTCCAGGCCAATTCCAACTCTAAAGGCGTACAACTTTTCAACCGTCGCAGACAGAGAGTGAACGCTTTCACACTCGTGAGTGTTGGAGGAGGGGGAGCCGAGGCATCTGAGAATGTAATTGATTTATCTTCTGAAAGTCCACAGACATGGGTCAAACAGCCTTCGACTGAGGACCACCATACAGAGTTGAATCACAGGAACCTCAAGACAGGTCTGACGTGGTCGGCTGGCAGAATCCATAGTACTGGTTGTGACATGGAAGATGCTAGCAAGGTTACGCGGGAGGATTTAGCAGAGGAAAGTGGCCTAGAAAGACACTTTCTACCCGTCAATGAGAAGGATGAAGAGCTCTCAGAAGACCTTAAAGAGGATGTCAAGGATGAGGTTACTCTTAGAAGTGACAATACCCTTAGAACTGGTCAGGATGAAGCTGAATCCAATGGAGCGTACAATAAAGAAATTGCGAATGGATACAGTTTGCAGTGCAATGGAAAAGCAGCCAAGACGGTGACTAAACCACCCACGATCATAAACAGAACAGCTCGGCCATTTTTCTCCCCGACAACAGTTGGATCCTCTGAAGCTACAAGTCCAGTCATGGAACTCCCTCCAATCCCATCCCATGACTCCTCAACACACTTTGAACCACAGCCTTCAACTTACCAAAAGCACGCAAGACCTGTTTTCTCTCCACCACCACCTCCACCTTCTTATCCAACTCCTCCTCTCCCCAGCTACTCCAACCCTCCTCCACCTGACACAGCCTATGCTCCCTCACCCCAACCTTCTTCCTACTGCATCCGCCCATCTGCCCCCAGGCCTTCATTTGTCCCTGAAATCTTGAGCAAGCAGAGATCCTCAACGCCTATCAAAACGGGTATACTCGATGAGGGCCGGTCTCGCCGAGCAACCCGAAAGTCAATGTTCACATTTCAGGAGAAGCCAAAAGTGGCTCCGAATCCTGAACTCCTGTCCTTGGTGCAGGGTGCAGATGAAAAGAAGAAACCGAAACCCCAGCCAGATGCAGCACAAGAGGAGGAGCTGCTAGCTCTTGGGGCCGAAGCCTCAAACTTCCTGGCCAAGGAGGACGTTCACGAGGAAGCTTTGGTGCCACAGTGGGCCTCGAGTTTGAAAAGCTCCAGGACACGTGACAGGACGGAGCACAAGCCTGAGCAAGCCCTGACCAATGCTTCAGGAAAAGGAGCTGAACTGTTTGCCAAACGCCAGTCGAGAATGGAAAGGTACGTCCATGACAGCAAGGAGCTGAGATCTCCTTCTCCTACCACGTCCTTGCCTCCTTCGTGGGTGTATCCATCCAACATGCCCGGTCGAGTAAAGGCCATGGTGAACACCTCTAATATCAGTGTGCAGATTTCAAAAACACTTCAAGCTCAGCAGGCCACACAGAAAAAGACTATCCCTGCCAAAACGGCAGGACCCGCTCCGCCTCCACCGCCAGAGATACCCTTGGAGAACGGTTGCACTAAAATCGAGATGGAGCTGTCAAGACATCAGCCGTACCAGCTCAACTCATCCCTCTTCATCTTCAACCCAACGAAAGATCCCTACAGCACTCTTCCCAGAGCCGCCCCAGCTCCTAAACCTGTCATCACAGCCCACTCCTACTCCAGACAATCATCCCTCCCAACAAGCCCATTGCCATCCCCGTACAGCCCGTCTGCTGCCTATCGGTCAGCCCATTGCTTTTCGCCTCCCATGACGCCTCTCAGTCCCATCACAGCAGGCAGCGTCAGTTCCCCAGTGTCTCCTTTAGCTCCAGGACGTGTGGCTTCACCTCGCTCTGGCGTCCAAGCTCCACGTCCTACGTTCTCCGCCAAAAAAGCTGGTATCGCCCCGCAGGTGTGGAAACCATCTTCATTCTTTTAAACCTTTCCATTTCTGCTCTTCTTTGCTTTATGAACTCTTCAGACCAAAGAAAATTGGAAGGGAAGAAAAAGGGACACATATTGTCAGTAAAAAGAGAGCAGTAAGGTAGCCTACAAAAATAGCTCTACTGGAAACAGTAAATATAGCACTGTTGGTTTCATGCTCAGATCGGTTTGTTTAAATTGAATTTTTGCATTTTGCATGCAGAGGCAATTAATGCCAAACAGATTTAAATAGTAATTCATAACCTGGCCAGCAGAGGTCCATACATTGAAACTTACTTGTTTTCTTTTAATCAAAGACATTGTAATTTCATGCAGCTGTGTGTTTCAGAACTAGAGAAGATTATTCAGTTTTGTGCTCATGCCAGATATATTTTAGGCATAAAACCAGTGTGTCTTTTTCCAACGCTTGCCTCCCAACTCTCAGGTTGGAGTTGGCACAGTCTTATAAAGCACTTTAGCAGATGGCGTCTTGCCTTTTATGATCTACAATATACAGTTTAATATGACTTGGAAGATATGAGGGCCTCAGTACTTCATAGCACGGCACCTGTGCTGTTCTATCTTAATTAGTTCTGTATGTTTCTCTTTAATTTTTATGTGTAGTTTACAGCTTGCATGCTGTGTGAGAGTATGGACTTAATGTAGTGTGCATACACCGTTAAACTGAAGACCTCTGATTCAACAAAGCCATAAATGAGTTTAATGAAGTCAGCTTACTTTATCGCTACACCCAGTATGTGGAATATATATTTTTTATGCTGGTTGTTTTCAAATGGATTGTTTTCCTTCTGGCTTAATGATTTTGTCTACTCCGTTTCATTAAAACAGTGAAACACTCCTTTTCTGATCTGTCTCTGGTTTTCATACTATATCTTCTTGCCTTGACTAATCTGCTGAATTATCTTTGTGGATTTCTTGTTCTATTTTCATTTTCATATTTTGGTCGTATCCATCTTTTCAGTGATGAGAATCCAAGGCCAGTTTTCCACACAGAGAGTTATTTTATCTATACACTTGCAACAACAAAACAAACATATGTGTATCAGAGCCACCGCCGCATGGTGCTCTGACCCAAAATGAAATTAGAAACTTTTTTTTAATGCTGACTGAATATGTATGTGCCCTGCACATTCCTGGCCTGCCCCTAAAAATGCACATCTGAGCCGAAACAGGCCCCTGTGGGCCTGAGCTTTAGGCTAACGGCTTGACCTCTGGCCTCCCTCGTGCTTGGAAAAACACATTTGCTGGAGGTGAAAACATACCCAGCAGCCACAACAGTGCAAATGCATATCTCAGTAAAGGTTAGTGGTTTTGGCAGCGTGTATGCAAGTGATCTGGAGATGGCATGATAACCTGGTGTGCTGGGAAACTACTCAGACAAGAATAAACAGCTTGATGTAATCATAGGGTGCATGAGAATCCCTGATATCTATAACATCACATCTAAAGTTGCTTGCAGTGCAGCAGGAGGTGTTTTAGATGTGTTTCAATGCCGTGTTTACAGGTTAATCTTACTCAAACGTGGGCACGGCCCTGGCATGAATTTGGGTAGTGTAGTGCTATTCGTTGGACCCAGGACTGTTCTGCTGTTGTAATACCTCGAGCATGATGATGTCTTTGTTTCCGTGCACTAACATTTCTCACTATCTGCATTTAAAACAAATGTTGTCCATGAGACATGAATCATATGTTATGGAGGGCTCAACAATAAGGATTGTATGTGAGTTTTAGGCTAGTTGACTGAGCTGTCATTTGCCGTATTAGATCAGTGCTACAGTATACATATTTGATCATGTACACACATTTTTATTCCTTCCACAATTTATGCCTTGTTTTCCATTTGGTTGCGAATTATGCTTGGCAAATTTTTAACCTGGTCAGCTAAATAAAATTATCTAGCATGCTGTCCAGGATTATCTGGCCACTAAAAATGTGTATGAATTTTATTGGACTTTCCTGTATAATAATGTTTAGCTGTTTTATATCTGGATAGCAATATATATATATATATATATATATACTTTTTTTATTTTTTAAATATTTGTATTAAATAAAATCTAAAAATAAGCATTAACTTAAGTTATACACTTAAAATATGACTTTTATATTATAAATGTTAATATAAAGGGATCACTATGATAATTATTAATTGATAAGTTACAGTTTGATTTGATTCCAGTGAAGATTGTTCGCAAAGCAAGTAGAAAAATCCTTTCTCTTGAGCCCTTTTATTATCAATGTTCAGTGTTTTGTGAGTGGATTTAACAACACAGACTAAATCAAAGTGATGTCCCACCTCTAAAACTAATCTTTTCTAATCTTCTGTCAGATTAAGGAGGAGACCCCGGCACCAGTTACTAGCTCCGGCTCCACCACCCCAACCTCCAGGACGCCCAACCTCACTCGACGCTTCACCAGCCCTGAGGTGCTTTCCGCTGCTGTCTGGTCCCCCAGCGGCCCTCCAGTGACCTCTACATCCTCCAGCCCCATCTACAAACCCACACCAATCTCCCCCTCGCCCCGACCCATCCATCGGCCCGTCGCGACATGCCCTTCCCCAAGACCCATCCACAGACCCATTGCAACCACTCCAGGTACCATCTTCAAGCCGACCGCCACCTCTCCTGTGTCTCCACCCTGGGAAACCAGGTGCGAGTCCCCGGCCGCCATCCAGGACACCAAAGCCAACCATCGCATTTTGGCCAAAAACATCATCAATGCGGCCAAGCGGAAAAACAGTCCGTCTCCCAGGTCGCTGAGCGGGCGCAGTCTGCCCATCTCCCCGGTGAACGGCGGGATCTCGCCTTATGAACACAAGCCCGCTAGTCCCTTTCAGCCACGGATGCTGGGGGCTCAGTCGCCCACCCTTACCAGTCCATCGCCCACCCGCATGATCCACTCTCCGGTGCGTTTGTACAACACCCGCTCGCTGACCGACTCCGACGCCTCAGTCGAGTCAGAGGATTCAGGCCTGCGCTCTCCAGGAGTGCGCAGCTACAACACCTGCCCCCGTGGCTGGACCGGCGGTCTGCAGGTGAAGAGGGGAGGCCTGCCTGAAGATCTGTAGAAGCACTTAAGGATGATTAATACTGCAGCCTGATTTCATGGTAGACCAAAGTGTCCCTTATATATTGAATGTAAAAATACAGCATTGTGGATTTGCAGTACATGGCTAAACATTGCATACAGTACTCATGTTGACTGTGTGGTGGAATCTTTGCAAGATATGAAATACACTATCCTTCAAATGTTTAAAGCTACACTGTGTGATTTTTACCCCCATCTAGCAGTGAAAAGATATATGACCATCCAGTGAATATTAGTTTCTGATTTCGTTTTAACTCCTACGGTGGCCAATGTAGTCCAAGATTAACATGGCTTCCAGTTCGACCTCGTCCATGAGTGTTAACTCAAACGTAAACGCGAAAGGCGAAGCTTGAATTAACGGGTATGTCCCTCTTTGGCTAATGTACTTTCAAGATGGAGGGGCAACATGGCGACCGACATTAGAACCCCTTACCCGTATGTATTTTCAATGGCATATTATACTCTCACGAGAATACTTTATTACTTGAATGAAGTAAATATACATTAATGAGCACATATATTTTTGAAAGAACTAAGTGTTTTTAGCTAAGAATAAACTAAAAGAGTTACACAGTGTAGCTTTAAAGTCACTTAAAAAAACAACAACAAAAAAAAATGTATACTTTTATTCAGCAAGGATGCATTAAAATGACCAAAAGACTTTTACATAGTTACAAAAAAAATTCTTTCTATTCATCTGAGAATCCTGACAAAAATGTTTCGGGATTTCTCAAAAATATTAGGCTTGACAACTGCTTTCATTGGTAAAAATAAGAAATGTTTCTTAAGAAACAAATGTAGCTGAAAATTCAGCATTGCCATCCGATGAATCAATTCGATTTTTTTATATATTAAAACAGTAAGAAGTTATTTTTAATTGTCATAATATTTCACATTTTTACTGTAATTTTGATCAAATCCATTGGATCTAAATCGTACCAACCCCAAACTTTTGAATGATCACCCAAAATAAAAATTCGGTCATAATTTACTCACCCCAAATGTTTACCTAAACCAAAATGCCTTTATTTCATGGAAACACAAAATGAGGTGTTCAACAGAATGTTATATTATATTGCAATATCCCAAATCTTCGAAAGCCATCTGATTTACTTTCAGAATTTAAACCGTTGATACTGAAAATGTTTCAGATGAAATCATAATAGATGAAATCACCTGCTTTTATGGTGCACAATGTCATTGCTGGAGCCTGGCAGCATCTGTGCACATTTACTTTCATGTTCTTGTTTGTTCTATGGAAGAAAGAAAGATTTTATCATGGTCATATGAGGATTACATTTTCATTTTAGAGTGAACTGTTCCTCTGTAAAGTCAAATCTTCGCAGTCTGTAATCTAATGAAGAAGGCCTCAGTCTCAGAAAGGTGTACCAAAGAACTTTGATGCTTATTACCAAAGATAAAAAGTAATGTGCAAGACTTTTACAAGCAGTATTAGTTATTAACCTCATTAAAAAAAAATGCTTTTTGTACAGTATGTTTTGACAATGTGTGAGAGTATTGGAATGTGACACTATTCGTAGCTCCGACTCAAGTCAAACTTGGAAGGAACTGACTGCTTATTGCTGATTGTGTCAGTTTAGATGTAAAGGCAGAACGACACAGCAAGGTTTTTACGGTATAAGAGAGAAGGTTGGACATTTACTACATTACGTATACTATAAATGGAAGGTGCTAGTGATTTGAAATCCAATGCGGTTTCCATATTATTAGTGCTGACATACAAGACAGAAACAAAATAGATGGTCTGATGTACAAACAGAGGAGAGGTGAAAATATAAAGCACGAGGGGGTCTGTGCAGTGTGATTTCATGTGAAATGTAGGAATAACATGATTGAACTGAATTTGTGTGTGTGCGAAACAAGTTAAGAGAGAATTCTTGCTTAGGTTAACTGGCAGTAAAAGTTAATGTTCATGTCATTTCAGTTTATCACATATAAGGGACTGAAGTAATTCTGGTTTTAGGGTGACTGAGTAGGAAGATTTTACACATTTCACAGAAATATATTTCAAGGGTCACTTCACTAAGGGTTATCATATATATAAACACCTCTGTCAGACTGTCTACAGTATGCATTACACTTGACTGGTATATTTCTAACTGTACACTCTGTATGTGTATTAATTCACACTTCTCAATACCAAACGTTTGTCTTTCATAGTTATGAAATTACATATTGAAATCTGAGTTGAATACTAGCACTCATGTAAGGATTAAGGCTCAAGGGCCATGCATGCCAAGTGCTCATGTTAGCCTGCACTCAAATATTGGATCACACATGAGAAAATGATTCTCTGCCTTGGTGCATCAGCAGATTTTTTGAGTATTTGCATATGGAGACTTTTGATTGACAGGGACATCAGCTGTAAAGTGACTTGGCACCTTTTGTAAGAATAAACTTATCACTTTCAAGGATGCTTTCACAGCCCCTGTGTACTTGCGCTATCATTCCTTTGGATTATGGGAGAAGTTACGCATTATTCAATTTACATACAGTATACTTTTGATATCATGTCTGAATAACCAGCCTCAATATTATCTCTCTCTGTTCAGTTCTTTTTAAATTAAGTGAATAAACACAAATAATGTCATCTTGGATAAATGTCTTCATTTCTTGATACCTTTTGACACTGAAAGCTCCAACTATAATTTCAAATGTTGTGTCAACTGTGTTATTATTTTGCCCCAAAATTCACAATATACATAATACAAAATTCAAAACACACAGAAAAAACGTGTTGGCCAGTATAGAGAAGCTTTTAGAAATCATACAGGCCTAATCTAGTTTGTGAATTGCATTGATATAATAAGATTAATAAAAATAAATAAATAAATAAATTTAAAACATAGTTGGGCCTAATATTTCTTAAAAACATCTAGTCAGAAAAGACCACAGATGCCTGGTCAATACTGCCACCTACAGGACTAAAATGGTAAACTGGTGTCCACTGTCCACTCTAGTAAACTCGGGAATTAAGACATAAATTGAAAATATAATATAATTTAATATTAATTAAAGACTAATACAAGCAATTTAATATTAAATGAAATCCTACAAAATACAATGATAACGACCACAGACGTGCTGACATTATACTTTGTGTATTTTAGTAATCAATCCTAAGATTTTTCTAAGAAACTTAAAAAAAAAAAAACATTTTAGAAGCTTAAAAAAACATTAAATAATAATACATTTTTCATTATTTCCTCAGTAACTGCAACATGGTCCTCAGTGACGTCAAGGAACAGTTTGTTCTTTTGTAGTCTGTTCATTGATGATAGTGAATAAAAATGTGAAATAAAACGATCTGTTCGTGAAAATATCGGCTCTCATAGGCTGTTTATTTTCTGTTTAGATTATTTACTCATAATAACAGGGTAACATGTTATACATTCTCCAGAGAGACCCTCAATGCTGCATTGATGCTGCATAAGAACTGGCAGCAATAAGCGACGATCAATAACAACAACACAAACCGGAAGTGACAAAATAAAACTAAGAACAACGTGCATTTACTTTAAATTGTAACATATTTAGATGGTATAAGTTTAACATGTATAGGATGATGATGATTTATTTACTATATTTACTAAACACAGCCAATGTGTTATTGTAAATAAATATGTACATTACAATTATTCACTACTGGGGTAAGTTGGCCCCTTGTTTTATACAGTCTGGTTGGCCACCAGTCTGAGTTTTTTTTTTTATTCAATTATAACGCATGATTGTCAGCATTTACAAAATCGGCAAAATATATTGGCTATTAAGTGGAATTGACAGTAGAGGAAATTAATTACAGAAATATAAGAAATGAAGAAATCAATAAAAAAAGGGAAAAGATAAAAAAACTGAATTTGAATGAATTTGCATACAAGATGTGGAATATGCAAAATACAGTTTATTAATGCAGGATTGGAATTGCAAGGTTGGGGGCAGGACTAAACAGTATAGCTAACATTAGATTTATTAAATTAAGGATATAAACAAAAACAAACAACATGCTTACAAATTCTTTGGAAAATAATACTTTCTCAAGACGAATACAACAGATTTTGAACCTGAAATTACTTAATGAACTGCTTTTAAAAGTTGATCAAGATGAACGACATTATACATTTCACAATGCCTTATAAATCATCAATGTAATGGATTCTGTCTCTGACAGGACTTTTACTTTGACAGCTCGTTCACTTGACAGCGAGCTCTTGTCCTCTGATTGTAGTGTCACGCTTCTCCATTCAAACTGGTTTGTTAGATTGCTTTGGATTGTTTCCTCGGGACGTTCACAACAAGGTTAAAAATATCAAACACATCTCATGACACCAATCCAAAGCGAGCGGGGTTTATCAGGGGGGACCTGGATCATTCATTTCCCCACCCATTTACCCCTTCACCCCTTGTTTATCTGTTAAAAAACTGAGGAATTCAGCTCTGTGGAAAAAGCGTCTGTTCATGGTGCAGTGTTGTGGTTTGCGATTGCTGGTTCGCAGCTTCGGCGGAGATGTAGATGCATGAATAGTTATCGAGTCGAATTTGTGCCGTTCCGTTTGTATTTAACGTTAGCTGATCTTTGAATCAATACAACAGCGTTAGCTGCCCTGGACAAAATGAGCAGAAACCAGCATCATTTTAAAGGAGCAGAGGTCAGCTGCTGTGTTAAATACTTCTTATTCGGATTCAACATCATATTTTGGGTAAGTTTTGTGGATTTGCGGTTCATTTGCTTATTATTGTGACGTTCAAAATCCTTATTGCCTCCATATTCTTTTCACTGTGTTTCTCCAACATCTTGACGTTAACGTTAACTTATTCATTTCACAACATGTAAGTTAACATGAACGGTTTTGTATGAAATATTACGTACCAGTGTTCATTTATGTATTTATTTGTATAGTAAATTATCTTTCTGAGGTAAAGTTACACGTATAATGTTGGATAGATTCTCGAATTCCCATCCAGGTAGACAAATCACCTGTTTCCCACGGGAATGGATTAGGCTGGTTTTGTTTGGATCTCGCTTTCCAGGTCTGGAGGATACATCCCATTGAGAAGTGGGGGGAGTGGAGGATAAATAGGATTATCCAGGTCTCATTAGTTGGGCGAGTTTGGGTCAATTCACAGGTTTAACAGAGATTAATGTTACCTCACACCTTTCAGTTTCCATACATGTAGGAAATGATACATTTTTTGGCCTGTTTAGTCTTTCTCTTTTCCACAAATGGATTTTCCATGTTCTTGTAATGATTTAGAGGGAAAGTGATTGTATCACTCTAGAGCAATTCGGTTATGGTGTTATTGATTGTAATGCTAAATCAAAAAATGTCAGTTTTTCTGCTTGACTCTGCTCTCTGTTCTTATTCTTTATCTGATATGGATTCCAATCATAAAAAAGCATATCTTTTAGGTGGTGCATGGTTTTATTTTATGTGTTTTACCTGCTTCAGCAAAACATATTTCATTGAAATTGATCCACGTGTCTTTATTAAATGGATAACTTACCTAAAACTTGAAATATAGGAAATGAGCTGGATGGATGACTGTTATTGTGCTATTGTTGATCCTCCTTGAAGCTTGACAGCCATGTTCACTAATGGTATGGAAAATATCCAGTTGGGTTTGGATTGGAAAAACTTGAGAGTGAGCAAATTATGACTCAATCTTATTTTTGGGGGGTAAAATCTCTCTCAAGTGACTCTTAATTCTTAAATATGGACATTTCTCCATTACCTCATCATTAAGGACCAATCACTCCACTGGTTTTCACGTAAGAGAGTGATAAATTGTGAGATAAAAGGAATCACTTAGAGCTGGAAGCTTCCATGAGTCACTCCTGGGGTGAACACATCGCCTGGAGCATAATTCTGTTACGCTTGTGATGTCATAAATTACTGCTTGGTTTCTCTTCATTTGTTAGTATTGAATGGGGCAGTGAAGACCCCTCTGGAGGACGTGATGGTAGTTAGTGCCCCCTTCATGCTTTAATGCTGTCCCGTCTGAAATGTTAACCTTGCATAATGTTCGACTGCCCTCTGTAACAGCTAGCCCTCCTACTGCCATTGTTCCCACGTTATAGAGAGCCTGTTGTGTTTTGCTGAAACTTAGACGCCAGTGTTTTCACCAAATTGTGTCCAGAATGTCAGTCTATACTCCTGGAAGCTGAAATCAACCCTCTCTTAAAGCTGCAGTCCGTTGGTTTTTTTGGATTAAAAATTGTCCAAAATACATATTTGAGAAACTACATAACCAGCCAGTGTTCAAAACTCTATGCTTTCCTTAGCTCGAAAGAAAACGGTAAGCTTGTAACGATCTTTTTAATTCCATTTTTTAAATCCACTGGTAGATTTCCGCGGGAGATTCGAGCATGTCTTTGCGTCATTACGCCACACCTGCGCACATAAAGAAGAGTCTCGGCTAGTATAAGCTATATTGCGTGTGAGGATGTTGGATGTTGTTCCAAAAACACTTGAAACTTTCTTTTTAGGTTTGCAGTGTTTTTGTCAAACTAAACCTATAAAAAATATTTCCAATTTTCAGTAGTTGAAAAGCTGAAATAAGAAAATAAAGCCTAAATATTAGACAACTTAGGCTAAACTTAAGCCTAAAATAAGATTAATATAAAATAAGACTAAAATGAACTTAAAATAAAATAAGATTAAAATTAACTAATTAATTGAACTCATTAAAATGACCAAATCTGGAACTAAAATAAATATAAATGAAAGCTAAATTACTACAACTTAATTCTAATCGAATCCTTGACCAATGCGCAGTGGGTTGTGGGCAATTTTAGTCATTAACGTGTGCATGGATCTGCACTTCGGATTCTAACCAGAAAAAGTTGATGATCCGGGTATCTTTGAAATACTCATTTCAACATACTACAATTTGGGACACATTAAGTCCAATTTCGAATAATTTTTATATTACTATTTAGGACAGATATGCGAATTATGATCACCTTTTAATGGTGGTTGACAAACCCACTTGAAGATGCATACCGTGCACACTGTGCGACTCCTGCGTGATAGCTGACGTAAAGGTATGATCAGTTAAAAATGCTTAAGGAGAAAATTGTACATCTCACCACTTAGAAAAGGAATGGAAATCCTCTTTTCAACAATTCTCATAATTGGAGATATCATTCATGTCTGTAGCTTGAACCGTGCTGGATGAGTGCTTGTGTTATGGGTACATTCAAATCCCTAACTCTATTTATGAGCAAAAGCATCAATAATTAAGTCTGACTTTTATACTTCCTTGCATTTATTGTCCCCTCGTCATGTCTGAAAGCCTCCCAGCGTCTCTCGACTCCTTTTGTCTTTGCAGACTGTTTGACCCCTGTGCACCCGTACCGTCTAATGCCTGTCTGATTGGTTTAAAGTGGAGACAGTCTGATCAGTCAGAAACCTACCTGATCCCAACAGAGCACTCACTTGGCTTGCCTCAGACTGGACCAAGTTGATGTCCTGTAATTACAGACGCCTCGCTCTATAATCGCAGTCTGATATCTACCCGAGAGGCTTTGCAGGGACATCTTAACATTCCCAACATCACCCCCGCCCCTTCCACCCCAGCAGTCTTTGATTCCTCCTCTCCAACTTTTCCTCCTTCTTTCCATTTGGGAGCCTCGCAGCCCCCTTGTCTTGTATTCAAATGAAGATGTTTGGGGTTGAGTGAATGGTGTGTGTGAGAAAGGACGTACTGTTCCCACAGCATCTGAGGGGCCCGAGTGTGAGCTGCGGCACCGTGTGTCTCAGTGAACCCCATTCATCCTCACTCTATGGAGCTGACGGGGGCCGTGCGACTATTGTCACACACACCGCCCCTGTTGCGACAATAACATTTGACTGATGCATTTGTTTGCACGCTTAATGTGTCTGGCTCGTATATTGTGTACAAACAAAGCAACGCACGTTTCTGATTTCAGAGAGAAACCTGTTTATTGCGTGTGTTTGCTTGAGCTCGTGCTGAGATCATGTGTAGCCCTGTGTTTTTGTATGTTTTTCCTTTTCATATCCTCCAGGTTCATATGGCAGATGGGAACCACATGTCCGTTCCCCCTCTTCCCCTGTTGCTCTGCGAGGGAGTTTATTTCCATGCCATTTCCCAGCAGGCCCTACTCTCACTCGCACACATTGACTCATTCTCACTAAAACACAAATGAATCAAACCAGAGTCATTCTGTTCCATCAAATATAAAAAAAATTCTCAAACATTCTTTGTTTTAGTTGTTGTTTTGAAATAGACAAAAGTATATGGGTGAGATTCTTCCCCTTGATAAGGCCTAGAAGTCCCCACGCCTCGTAACACATCTCCGGCGTCCTGGTGGAAATGATGATCTTTTCAATATTTCCATTTTACTGAAAGATACCAGAACCATAAACCATAAGAATTATTTGGATTCTGAAGACAATTTGGTGTTCGTTCATGTGCCAGGGTGTTGCAATGCAGTGCTAAGGTTTTCTTAGTCATTTGCATGTGCTGCTATGTGGTTGCCAGGTGCTTGCTTAAAGGGATAATCAACTAAAAATGAAAATTCTGCAGTCAGTTCCTTGTTCCAAACCTGTATGACTGTGGTCTTTGGCCATACAATGAATTTGTTTTGGGCCACATTGACTTTCATTGCATGGACAAAAACAGTTGGGGGTAAAACATAATACACATGCCTTTGGTGTGAGAGACCCGGGTTTGAATCCACTGTGAGACACCAATGTGTCCCTGAGCAAGACACTTAACCCCTAGTTGCTCCAGAGGTGTGCGACCTCTGACATATCAATTGTAAGTTGCTTTGGATAAAAGCGGCAGCTAAATGAATAAATGTAAATGTAAGTTGCAACATCCTTAAAAATGTCTTCTTTTGTGTTCCACAGAAGCAAGAATGTCATACAGGTTTTGGATGACATGAGCCTGAGGCTATGTTTACACGGAAACGATTCTGAAGAGAAAACGCAAAAGTGGCGTTGCGTTATCACTTTTTATTCTGTGTTTAGACGAGCGTTGGTGGTGGGAAATCCGCTTGCATATGATGACGCAAAAGTGTGTGAAATTCAATGTAGTATGCACTCCAGACGGCTAGGAGTGCATACTACAACAACACCAAGTCCGCGCGCCTGCGTACAACGTTCACTGTCAAGCAGACTTTTGCGTTTTTACCCTTTACACGGGAACGCGGCAGTGGACCATTTTAAAGATTTCCACTCTGGAAGGTGGTTTCACTTTTTTGCGTTTTTAAGCCCCAAAATCGCCATTGCCGTGTAAACGAAAGGCACATCCGAAAAAATATTTTTACGTTTTCACATCCTCCAGGTGAAAATTACAAGTCAGATTAGAAGTTATTGTTCACTTTCGGTATGTTCACACTTGGCAGCAAAAATAACTATTTATGAGAAAGTTAACTGTTTGTTCAAATCTCTAACCCTGAGTACTGTGAGCTAAGTTAATATTGATGCTTGCCTTAGCAAGCAGTACTAATAAAGCCAGAAATACTACTATGTACTGAGTCAGACTTTCCATAAGCATACGTTTCCACGGTGATGCTGCAGTTCTTTAATAAATAACGATAAAGATGTCAGAAGGTGAAGAAGGAAAGCAAAAGCTGTTCTTATGGCTGTAACAGCTGGTGGAAAAAGTGGTTCTGCTCCCTGTCTCAGCTGAGAGTTTATGCCAAGAGTTTTGCCTGCCGTTTGTGATAATACAGAGATACTATATGTCTAATCATTCTACTGTGTGAGATAGCAGCTCTCCACTGGTTGTCCAGAAGAATTACTAAATAAGCTGTTTAAGTGCTCTACAATGCTTGATTGTGTCTTAATCCCGATATCCACGTGGGCGTGACACAACATTGGCCTTCCCTGGATCAAGACTGTCAGAACTGGGGGAGATAGACTGATGTCTTCATGATGGCAATGAGTGGGAATCAGTGGTATGGATTGACAGAGAAAGTGTGTGCAGTGGATGACTGGCCCTTAGCTCCATCCATCCATTGTATTAGCCGAGACCACAGGGAAATGGGATTATGGGATTTGCGGCTGCTGATACCAGACCTCTTACTCTCACCTTCCCGCTCTCACGTTTCCCCTCACGCTGGGATTGCTCAAACCTGCAGTCAAACACACAGCTGAGAGAGCCCAGCGGGAGTTTGACTGGGAATCTGTAGTTTTGATAACACATTAGACCAAGAAGGTCAGTCATTGAATCAAACTTGCAGAAAAAACATTCATTGCATTGTTTAGCCCAAGGAAAATGATACTATAGTGTAAGTGTCATGACCTAGTAGTTGGTGCATGTGCTTAAGACATGTTTAGCTGTGGTGCTCACGTTTAAAGTCCCATTCTCTCTCTCTCTGGTAATTTCCTGTACCATCTCTGTGTAAAACAAGTGGTGTATGACTTTTATTTTATTTTCCATCCAAACCCTGGTGCACACCAAACAAGTAGACTGAGACTGCTGAAAAAATCGGTCGCGACATGGATCAAAGATATCAAAACAAACCAGAAACAGGACATTGACAAATTGACAGAATTCTCAAGCATACCTGTTTTTTCTCGTCAGAGTCACGATGTTGTCGATCACATGAGAACCACATCTCGTTGCAGCAGATATTTATTTGTGCATGAGGGATTCTTGCCTCTGTTTTGACTCTTTTGCACATTTTATAAGCTCTTCAAGAGTTATCAGCTCCATCATACTCGGCATACAGTGAGCGCATTTAGCCCAGCACATTTTTTTTTTTTTTTGAAAGACATTTCATCAGCTGAACAATCGGTATGTTGTTCAACAACAGTACAATCCTGCTGAGAGGTCCCTAGGACAGGTTTGAGAACCACTGGTCTAAACGATAGTGGTCAACCGGTGCATTGGCAAGGCTGATATGTTGGCAGATATTTAGGATTTTTAATTCTTGGCATTGGTTGATACATTTTTCTATTTGGCAGATGTGTCAGAACAGAAGTATGACTCTTATTTTGACTGTTCAGGACTCTTATTTTGATTCTTTTTTATATTAATTTTCAGCATGTGTTTTTACTATCTTTAAATTAAATATGATATCAGATATATCAACCATCCAGCTCCCTAAGATTTCCACATCGGCCATAAAAAGAAAAGAAATATCGGTTGACCATGATTGCTTTGTGAAACTTACTTCTGTGGTATCAACTGAGAATATCAATAACATACTGTATATTTTTTTGAAGAATCTGGGTAAGAAATTAATGATAGACTTTTTTAGTGAACTGAACTATACCTTGGATACCTTTAAACTGTGAACAGGGTTCCCGCGGGTCCTTAAAAAGTCTTAAAATGTCTTAAATTAGATATTTAAAATTTAAGGCCATTAAAAGTCTTATAAAGTCTTATTTTTAGGTATGAAAGGTCTTAAATTTTAGATGACACTTCGACTCAGTCATATCTTAATGTTTTCCAAATTAAAACCATCTAATTTGCGTATGTATTAATTTTTGTCTTTGTGGATTTGCTTGTTCACGTGACAATTCGCGTCATATTCGCGGCAGAATAACGTCCGTCTCCTGCACGCGAGACAGGAGAGGAGGAGAGAAGAAAGTTGGCAAATGTCAGTTAAGTCGTAAGTTAATTCTTTATGTGCGTAGAGGTGTGCGATGTGTATTGTCTATTATGATACTCTATTCTTTTAACGATGGACGAGGCACTGTGAGTGTGAGCTGACATCGCATTTGTCTCTCGTGTTTTCACGGCGTGATGTGTGCAGTTATAGGCATAGACATGTATTTATTATGGTTATAGGTATGTCCCCAAATTAGTTTTTGCCTTATATTTATATCATGTTGTTATATTAGAATATCACATCAGTAAGAGTGCCGTTTTCCCGTGCACAAGTGTGATATTTATGTTATACAATAGTTAAATTAAAAATAAAGTGACATTCACATTGTGAGTTAGTTTTTAGCCATAACATTATCGATATTGTTTGTTTTCCCTTTATTTCGCCGACTAGAATTTCAAAATGAAACCATAGCAGAGTCTCAATGCAACAGACAGCGATGATTTCTTGAAGGAAATCCGCGTCTTGAACGAGTCATTTTAACGATTCAATCACTTGCTTCTTTCCCGTTTGAACAAATCGGTTGAATGAATGACTCCCTCAACTCGCTTATTAAGACAGCGATTTGCCGCCGCCTACTGGCGGTTTTAGTTTCATATTAAAAGTAAAAAATTAGAAATCATTTCACATTTAAATATTGAATATTGATTTTTTTAAAAAACCTTATAGCTTGATTTGTGCAATTGTAATTGGAGTGTATATATTAATGCCACTTCTAAGGCTGCTTCTGCGTCTACTCTGCACTGCAAAGATGGATTTTTGATTGAATGATTTAATTAGACTGCTAACAGTGGTACTGTATAATTATTGTGTAATGAAATATTATTGTATAAATAAGTATAATTACTGTATATATGTGATGCACGTGATGCATAACTCTAAATAAGTTTAGAAAAAAAAATCTCCATAAATAGGTGAAAATGCCCTGGAAATCAATTTAAGGTGGCAAATATTGCACATTAATTAATAATTTCTGTCACTGCTGTGAACTGACCACTGCATAGAATATGAAAAATGTAAATATCTCCGCGAGTCTGCTGTCAACAACAGGCCTAAACCAGCCATGGCACCAGCACAAAAACACAATCAGTAAAATATCAACTAATTATTGTTGATAAAAATTAGTTGATATTTTACTGATTTTGTTTTTGTTTTGTGTTTATCAACAAAACGTGAAAATATCGAGATATATTTTGTCAATATCGCACACCCCTAATGTATGGTATTAATTTTGATTTCTTCAGGTCTTAAAAAGGTCTTAAAAAGCCTTAAATTTTACTTTAAAAAGTGTGCAGGAACCCTGGTGAATTTAGAATCTGATTTTCCTCGGATCTTGTTGGGTAGACATGCCAGAATGCCGAAAACCAGTCAGTAGCTTGTGTGACCACCATTTGCCTCACGCAGTGCAACACATTTTAGAGTGGCCTTTTATTGTGGCCAGCCTAAGACACACTGTGCAATAATCTTGCTCTTTAATCAGCATCTTGATATGCCACACCTTTTGAGATGGATGGATTACGGCAGAGGTTCTCACTAACACAGATTTAGACAGATTTGTGATCAATATTTGAGAGGAATTGGCCTTTTGTAGAAAAAATGTCATGAAAAATTGGCTCAAACAAAAGTGTTGCATTTTATAGTTTTGTTCAGTGTAATTAAACAGGTTCCTGTAAGCAGTGTCATCCAAGTGATTTTTCTCATTCAGGTAAAAAACAAGTCTTGGCTCCTTCTCAAGGAAAATTATGCCAAAGATGGCAGTGCATGCAGGGAAATCGCTACTTTCTGGATCTTTGATAGCCAAGTTTTTCTTTTTGCCCTCAAGAGAGCACAGTGCTGTCTGCACATAGCAGTAACCTCATGCCATTACGGAGCGAGAATGAATTGTTTAAGTGGTGTAAATGTGATAAATTCTGTTGTGTGTTTCAGTTGCTGGGAGCTGCATTCCTGGGTATTGGACTTTGGGCTTGGGCAGAAAAGGCAAGTTGGAAACACAAATACAGAGTAACGCAACGATCGGTGACATGCCTCAAATTCCTAATATTATTATCCATGTGGTTGCCAGAGCAACATAAACATAGACATAAACAGTAGACAGCACACTTTAAAAGTACAAACTACCTACAGATACCCCCTTGTCTCATTCGGTCTGCCCGTTAAAGCGTCAGCATTAATGTTTAACATCTTTTCCTCATTTTGTCAAATGTAAAGACGTTCTGTGAATCCCCCATGTTGCTTTTTCCTCCTTTTAATGTCTGAAACCTCCAGTAAACCATGACATTTGAGAGCATATGGGTGTCATCTTTTATTAATTTCCATGACAGTTCAATGACTCTGTTATATTTTTGTTGTAGGCCTATAACCATGCCGCATAGCTCAATAAGGCTTTGTATTTATTGTGACTATTCTCTCTCCAATTTGTCGCCCCTCTCAGAAAAGGTCACTCTCACTGTTATGTATTCATGCATGAAAGGTGAATGTAATTTCTTCACACTAATTTGAGGCGACTTAATGAATCTCAAAGTCAATTGGCTGATTAATAACCTGGAAATTGCTCCATTTCAGTCGTTGATTGTACTGCTAAAAGACGTGTATAGGCCATATGGCACTTTGTATTAATGTCAGGCAATTATGGAACATCTTGGTAACACCATGTAAATAATTAATAAAGGGTTAATTTTTACATTTGCTAAATGTTAATTACAGAAACAAAGCATTAAGAATCGGACTGAGGGAGGGTGTTCTGTTCAATTTAAAATTGTGATTTTAATTAAGTGTTTAAGTGAATTTTAGAGCTGCCTATTCTTCCGCCATCATGACAGACAAAGCAAGAACACACAAAAAAAGGAACCTTGTTTATAGTCACTGTCAGCATGGTCTAAAACCTGCTGTTGGTTGTGGGATTGAACTGAAATTCCACCCTGATGTGGAAATCTAAATGTGTAAGGCAGGAATCACCGTGGAGAGTTGCGGGTGGTGAAGGATTTTAAGGTCAGGATGTGAACTTACAACTGTCTGATGTGTCTGTCCCACAGGGAGTGCTGTCAAACATTTCCTCCATCACAGATCTGGGCGGCTTCGACCCTGTTTGGCTGTTTATCGTAGTAGGAGGGGTGATGTTCATCCTCGGATTTGCCGGATGCATCGGTGCGCTCCGGGAAAACACGTTTCTGCTCAAATTTGTGAGTTCCACCCTTATATCCGGCCTGCGAGCCCTGCTTCCCATTTCTCTGCAACCTATTTCCCGGTCTCTGATTTCAAGGCTTATTTGTTTCCAGATATGGACGTTTAAATTAAATGAATTGGCTATAACACAGGAATACACCCAGAAGTAATCGAAATGCCTCCTGGGGGAATTTAAAAAGCAGTGAATAAATATTTACCTTAAAAGAATCACTGAAAATTATTTCCTGGGATTTTTAGGATAATAAGGTTCTGACTCTTGTGTGTTTTCTCCTCTAGTTTTCAGTGTTTTTGGGTCTCATCTTTTTCCTGGAGCTCACAGCTGGCATTTTAGCCTTCGTGTTCAAAGACTGGATCAAAGACCAGCTGAACTTCTTCATCAACAACAATGTTAAAGCATATCGGGATGACATTGACCTCCAAAACCTCATTGACTTTGCTCAAGAATATGTGAGTCAGCACTTCTCTTCCCCTCTCATTTTCTGCTGTGCTGTGGTATATATTTTGAAGTGTGCACTAGAACATTTGAGTCATCATGCATTTTCTATATGAAAAGTTTAACTGTAAATTACAGCTGTGTGATGAAAATGGTGATGTTATGTATCACATCAGTGGTCGTGTTGTGGCGCTCATGGACCGAATGACTGGAACCTGAACATCTATTTCAACTGCACTGACTTTAACCCCAGCCGGGAAAGCTGTGGCGTTCCTTTCTCCTGTTGCGTCAAAGACCCTGCTGTGAGTGCCAGAAATACTGTATCATTTCATCTGTTTACCACTTGCTCTTCCCTGCTCCTGTTTCAGCAAGTTAACTGTGTTATCACACTCTTAAACGTTTCTTCAGTACTGGATGCTTTGAACTGAACATCCTAACGTGTTCATTCATAGAACAATGGAGTGTTACTATAATGTGCTGGTTTGTTTTATGGGGATAACAGAATGTAGATAAGACCCTGTTTAGACCCTGGCAGGGGTGGTGATGGCGCAGTGGATAAGACACATGCCTTTGGTGCGAGAGACCCTGGTTCGAATGCACTGTGAGACACCAATGTGTCCCTGAGCAAGACACTTAAAGGGATAGTTAACTTTGAAATTAGTTTTCGATATGTTTTAGCTTACCTCAAGGGAATCCAAGATGTAGGTGTCTTTGTTTCCACAGCATTTTCAATTTTGACATTTTTTTGGTCAAACCGTTGTTGTCTGTCAGTCCTATAATGCAGTTTTAGGGGGTCCACCTCAAAGAGCATGCACAGAGAAGTCAAAATTAAACATGATTTAATGACTCGTGAATGTAAGTACACACTGATGGCCTAAGACACGAAACGAGCGGTTTGTGTAAGAAAACGAACAGTGTTTATATAGTTTTTACCTCTTGTTAACAGCCGTCGAACTGATCTGAATCAGATGTCCAACTGAACCGAACTGAACCATCTCCAGACGTTACGCCGGATGTGATCTCTCGCGAGTCTACGTCACGCATTGTTTACATGGAGATTCGGTTCGGTTCAGTTGGACATCTGATTCAGATCAGTGTGACGGCTGTTAACAAGAGGTAAAAACTATATAAACACTGTTCGTTTTCTTACACCAACCGCTCGTTTCGTGTCTTAGACCATCAGTGTGTACTTACATTCACGAGTCATTAAATCATGTTTAATTTTGACTTCTCTGTGCATGCTCTTTGAGGTTTGGTATGTTTGGTTTGAGGTGTTTGGTATGTTTTTTGTTTTCAAACCAAACTTGGGTTTCTAGCCGACAAAGCTTGAATCACGTCTGAGTCCGAGTGTGCTTCCCATAATGTTTACGCATTTATGCATCAGTAGGCGGAGAGTTGTCGTCTTTTGTGGCTGTTTGAACAGATTTAAATGCATGATTGTCTACACTACGAAAACTTTCCGGTCGAATGCGTTACTACCTCTGGAAGTGGTCAAAAGTGGACAAGCTCAACTTTTTAGACCCCATGAACTCCTGTATTTGGTGTATTTAGTGACGCCCACTTGTGATCCGATCGACCAACCAAAATGCATAATAATAGAAGGTATAATAGAAGCTCAGGGGAAGAGCACATGTGAGGTTATGCATTTTATTTTTATTTTCAGTGTAGCTAAGGATAGCTAGCTAGATTATAAGTCAACTATTTTTTTATTTATTTACACTAATGTCCTATTAGTTAACATTGGTTAATGCATTAACATTAAATAACAATGAATCTCGGGTCCATTGAATAATATAAAAACTTTAGATTTGAATAATTTATAAGTAAATGTTGAAATTAACATTAACTAAGCTTAATAAAAGCTTTTGGGGTATTTTTTTATTGTTAGTCCATGTTAACTGATGTTGTTAATGTTAACAAATGAAACCTGTTACTATTTTTATATATCTTTAGCTGATAATGGTGTTGTTTAGCTGTTGAAAGGTTGAATGTGAAAAAACATTCTCATCTCTTTTTATATTCTATTCGGTTGGGTGTTTTCTTAAACAATATGTTTTATTTGTATTCAAATAATTGTATTGTGTGCTTTTATTTTAAATCTGTGGTTCAAAAAAAGTAAATATATTGAGCATGTTTTCTTATTCTCTCTTTAGGAGGATGTCCTGAATACACAGTGTGGCTATGATGTGCGGCATCAAGGAGTGAGTATGTTATTACTAGTTAGAAATTATACATTTGTGCACATCCGAAATATATTCTTTACAATAGGATTTCATAGTCGACATGAACTTACAATGAACAATATCTCTATGGTTTTATTAGCCTTAATGTTAATTTCAACATTTAACAGTACATTTTTTAAATGAAAATTTGTTTTTGTATTCATTAGTAAATGCACTATGAACTAACTTGTGTTTTCAGCTATATTGTATTTTCATTTACTAACACTGGCAGATTTTTAAATGTTGTAAAAAAACATACTGCTTCCTGTTAGTTCATATTAGTTAATGTATTAAGTAATGTTAACAAATTAGACCTTATTGAATAGGTTTACCATATGTTTAATGATGAAAAAGCATGTAATGTTAAATCGTGTAGTGTCAGACCACCCTTTAAAAAGAGCACAGAAGGGTTAAGCGCATGAGAGATTCTGAGAGCATTTGAATTCCTCTTCTTATCCTCCTTAATAACAGTTTATGCCTTTAAAAGTGATAATTAGTTTCTATTTTTTGCCACGGAAAATTGTGGAGCTCTGTAATTGGGAAGTCAGCGGCTTATGCCTGCATGGGTGGAGTGACACTGCACCACGGTTCACCACCGTCTCTCCTGTATCCATGGATACTCTTTCTCTCACAATCCACCTTTTAATAGGTTTTATTTGCTGTTATGATGTTTTTTTACTGGCTTTTTATTTTGAGCTGTAGGCATTAGAAAGACAATAAACCAATGTCTGCTCAAAGAATCATACTTTAAAAAACTCATTATCCACTTTTCATTGACTTTCTTTGAATCCCACTGACTTCCTACTGGTTTGGCGTTACGTTTCTAAAGTCTTTTGTGTCTTCTTTCCTGGGGGGACAATGGATTCTATGGAGAACACGTTTGTATGGTTCACAAAAGCTGTATTGTGTGGCTTTCTCTTTCTTCACCTTCAAATGTCACCGACAGCACCAAATTACTCCTTTTCATCTCCCTTCCTTCCCAGAATCTGATAGACAGTAGTTAAGACATTCCTTTATATCTGTGTAACACAAACTGGATCCTCCCTGTGTCAGGTTATATGTGGTGAGCTGTGTGACATTTTGTCTACTTAGCGTGGGAGTGAGTTCCTCCAGGTTTCCAGAGAGGATGTTTGTTCTTAAATAGATTAATGCGCAGGTCCGCCCAGGTGAAGGCCTAATTGTTTATTCTGGACTTGTGTAAAGATTAAAGGTCAACTTGGAGGAGTGAACACCAATATGGCACTGTGCACTTAAATGAAGATTTAGTTTCTTATTTGGATCTGACATTTTCCATTAAGTGATGTGCTGATTTGAATAATCTTTTTATTAGGAGTTGGATCAGCAGAAGTACATTTACACTAAGGGCTGCGTGGGGCAGTTTGAAAAGTGGCTGCAGGACAATCTGATCATTGTTGCTGGGATTTTTGTGGGGATTGCATTATTACAGGTAAGGACAATGATAATGGAAATGCTTCAAAGCATGCAAATAAATGTTAAAGATGTAGCAATAACTGAACAGAATTGCTTGAATGGGGCTTGAGTGGTAAAATGGTCACACAAGAATGAATGTAATGCTGCCAACTTGTGGTTGAACCTTAAAATACAGCTTTAAATCTAGTTCCAGCATTAATTAATACCAGAGTGAATCTTAAAATGTCTGGGTCATATTTCACCCCCCAAATCAGAAGAAAGACATAAAATGTTATTTTTTAGATATGCTATTTTTTTTACTACAATGTACACTACAGTTTAAAAGTTTGGGATCGTTTTTTATGTATTTGTTTTTTAATGTTTTGTATCTTCTGCTCACCAAGGCTGTATTTATTTGATAAAAAATGCAGTAATATTGTGGAATATTATTAACTATATATATATATATTCCTGTGATGCAAAGCTGAATTTTCAGCGTCATTACTCCTGTCTTCAGTGTCACATGATCCTTCATAAATCATTTGAATATGCTGATTTGCTGCTCAAGAAACATTTCTTATTATTCTCAATGTTGAAAACAGCTGTGCTGCTTCATATTTTGTGGCAACCATGATTTAAAAAAATCAGGATTCTTTGAATAGCAAGTTCAAAAGAACAGCGTTTATTTGAAATATAAATATTTTGTAACATTATAAATGTCTTTGTTTGTCCTTGATGAGGAATTAAAGTATATATATATATATATATATTAATTTTATTGACAGCAAACCGTAGTATACATTTTATAGTGTATATACTGTAGTGGACGGTATACTTTAAAAAAATTACTATAAAATTAAAATACCATGTTATTATTTCATAAAATGAAGGATATTGCACACTAAAAATATGTTTCGCTGAAATCACGGTCCTCTGTGATACTTATAATGCAAGTAAATGGTTACCGTCACTTTGAGAGTCAAAAAAAATCCTGTAACCATTGACTTGCATCTTACGAGTCACGAAGGACCATGTTTTCAGCTAAAAATGTTCTTTACTGTTCTACTTAAGGGAAAAAGACACCTACATCCTGGATGGCCTGAGATTTTTATTTTTTGGGTGAACTAACTCTTTGGGGAAGGGTGTAAAAAAATCCTAATGATCATTTCATTTTGGTTTATTTTCTTTATGAAAAATAGTTTTTTATTTTTTGAAATATGAGCCCAATATTTCTTGACTGTTTCTGTGTAATACATCTGTAGATAAGTAGAGCTGTTCTGGTTGTTAAAAATGAAAACAAGAGCACTGTGAATGTGTATAGTCATTTTTCTTCAGCTATTATCTTCTTTTCTCCTCTATGATGTCTTCTTTTCAAATATGTTTCAGATTTTTGGGATATGTCTGGCTCAGAACTTGGTGAGTGACATCAGAGCGGTCAAAGCTAACTGGTGACCCTTTGCAGAGGGCAACAGCTGACGGTGACCTCTGTGATTATGGCAGAGCTAACTGCAAATCAGCACTGTTTACACACCATTGAGCTGGGAAAATCTGCCCTTTTAACCCTACGGACGTTGTATGTTGTCTGACTTTACAAAATGGACTTTCCATCTATGTTTTTGTCCTTTTTGTAGTTCCTTATCTGAAAGCGAGCTCTTATGGAGCGTATCCAGATGGAGCTTAATGTGAGATGTCACACCGAGATCAAGCTATCTGCGATCTTGCAGCTGGCTCTTGATCGAACACTATTTTCGTTTGCCCTTATTAAAAAACATTCACCAGACTCTCCTTCGCGTTGGTGAATTAATGTCAAGCAGAGGGTGTTTTCATTAACCTGTGGATGACTTGCTTTGGAGAAACACACAATTCAACCACTGATACTTTAAACAGAGGAGCCATGAACTAAACGAAGCCTTACAGCAGTGCATTTCTCTATACACTTGTGTGGATTCAGCTTTTTACACGACATTCTGTCCGTCAGTCATTCGAGCCAGTGGACAGTTGGACTCTTGCCTCTGATTGGCTCTCTGTTGCACAGGGTAGCCACTCGGTACAACGTACTTGATAATTACACGTATGCATTTATTTTTCCATTGCAATTTATAGTTCCACCACTTGTTGGGGAGGTGGAGAAATGGTCTGTATAGTTACTTTATTCTCATTTTCTCTTCTGTGAGTATGAATCGACTTGACCGCTGTCCAAGACTTGTTTATGACTCTTTTTGTTTTCGCTACTCTGCTATGCTATAGTGACACTAAAAATGTATTATTATAAATATGCTGCTTTAACTCAAAGAAGATATTCATCACTATACTAACCAAGTGAACTTTTTATAGAAATCATGAGGTATACATTCCCTCTGGGAAACTTCAGATCACGCAGAGTGATTTGCACATGAAGTGGACAGATTGAATTAGCCTTGCGTATGATCACATGCCTTATTGAGCCCTACAGAGATGCTATAGCTGAAGCCTCCGGCAGTTACGCATGCAGCACATGGCTTTATTTACTGGTCAGTCTCTCTTGCTTTGCGTCACATGCATGCAATCGTCTATTAAAAAAAGCATGGCAATGCAGACCTCTTTAAGCGCATGCTCGCGTGTGTGGATGTGTGTCCGTTCCATTATGACTACCATACCAGTGCGTGTCCAGAAGGTGTCTGCATTGAGTCATGACCTTAAAGCTAATAATGTGCAAAGTAAGATAAATGACGTACTGTGTGTGCAGAACGTGCTCGGATGGTTTTAGCAGTGTCGGCAGACTGAACTGAATCATCTGTTTAAAAAGATCTACTGTGTTGTCAGAGCGAATAGTAAAATGTGAGATTTCTCTTCTGTGGTCTTTTTGGGAGATTTGGGAAGGGGTTGCTGACTCCTGCCTGTGTATATTAGAGGCATTTTTTTATGCAGATACAAGACAGATTATATGCTAAATGATGTTTAGTGGACCTAAATGGATGACCCTTTGTGAAAGCCTATCAAAAACATGTCTAGGTTGCATTTCTGTATCTCATCGCAATGATAAAAATACACTATATAAAAAAAGGTATATTATTTAAATATTAGAGTACTTATATGTGTAATGATCATTTTTGTTGTACTGCCTTTGTTGATGTTAATAATGTATTAATATTAAATGACAAGAAGCTAATTTAATCAAAAGTAAAAACTCCAGAGGCAATATGATAAGAAAAAAGTGTAATGAAAACATGAATTTATGTATTCTTGGGTGAAATGCAGCCTGGACATGTTTTTATTTGAGATTGACACAAATATGTTAATAATTTCTCTCCCTCTCCTTTTCTTTGTCATGCAAATATGGCTTTTTTTCTAAACTGAGAACTCTAACATTCCCTTTTGTGGGAGCCTCTTGCATATCATGAATGTAAACATCATCTTTTACTAATGTTATGTCATATATAACTTATCCTTCAAAGTGCAATGCACAAACATATGTGAATAAAATTAATGTTTGTCTGACTGTAGGCACACAAATGAAAAACATGGCAACTCTGTGTTCGTGTAGTGAATTAGACAGTCCTTGTGCATGCATTGGCTTAATTTTTAATGAAGTGCATTATGCATTTGTGCGTTTTTTTTTTTCTTTCTGTGCTGGTTCATCAGAAACTGTTTTGATGATTGGTATTAAAACCATTGAGGTTTTTTTTGCTGGCCCTTTCTCTGTACCAGCTGTGGTAGTTTGAAATGTTTGCGAATCTTAAAGCACAGTTTTATCAGAGGAGCTGGAGTTTCTAGAACAGTTCTGAGTGGATTGTAAATGCAAATCAATATGGTTTTTAAACTATTTAAATCTTTTACCGACATGCTTGACATGACACTTGTCACTTTTAATGCGAAAGCCTTTATTTTTTGTTTACATTCCCATATGTCTTCACAGAAATGACTACCTCGTCATGGAGAAATGACTTCAATCCTGGTTATAACTCTAATGCAGCCATTGTAAACATTTTTAATGGTTGAGGTTGTCTTTTGCAGTCTTCGCTTTTCTTTTAGGCAAACAATAATTTTCTTGACAAGTCACTACTGTTGATTTCATATTTGAATGGCTTGTTGTTTAAACTTAGTGACTTACTGACTTAGTGTTCATTATCCAACAATATCATATCAGAATAACTCAAAATACCCTCTTAAACTGAATTGTGAATATTGCACTTGGAGACCTAAAGCATTTCCTGTGCTCTCTATTAGTCTTAATGATGAATTATACTAACCTATAATAACAGTCATACTTACTGTGGATTTTCACTTTCTATTAAAAAAGTAAACCATAGAAAATGATGATCGTATTTGGAAACAGCCTAGCAATGGCACGGCATAGTTTTGTTTTATTTTATTTTATTTTATTTTTATTTATTTTTTTGTAAATTGTCCAAAGGTCCATTTGTTGGGAGCATCCAAGGGACTTTTCCTGTGGGAGATGGTCTGTTACACTGTATGATACAAGATATGCTTTTTCATAATAAAATGGATTTACGAAATTCTGAACTCAATTTCATCTTTCATCTGCAAGTTCTGTCAATCATTTGACTGGACATCCGTGTTCAGTGCTACTTCACAGATAGATCATTGTAGGCTACAAATGTGAATCTAATTAATGATGCATTACCTATACCTTACATGATTATTTTTGTTTTTTCTTCCCTCTTTCTCACAAGATCAATTTACCATTGGCAGACCTGTTAATTTTAAAGGGATCCTACACCTAATTAAAGTTAGAAAAAACACTGTAAAATGTTTTAAATATTTCAGGGAACGATACATGTTGATTATGATAAATTGTGTGTTTACTGTAAAAGTGATTTTAATGTTATAGCGTTTATTTTAGGGTTATTACCGATGTCCATTGATCGATTGTTATGTATAGCCAAAGTTTTTTTTTTTTTCAGAACATTCAGATATTAAAATAAAACAATATATTGGTGGTATTTTTCTTAAAACTAATAGTCTGATATTAAAACATAACAAAACACCAACAAAAAAAAAAATAACCTAGTTAAAATATGATAACAAATCATAACAGTTTGCGGTATCGTGCAGCTAACCGGAAGCGGATAAGACCGGAAGCCTCGACAAAATCAAGTCACCCGCGCTCTTTAGGTGTGAATATGAATTGTGGACATTGCAATTTGGTTAAATTTTTTACATTCAATATTCTGGTCATTTGAAAGTGAGTGACGGAAAGCAACTGCTGTGCTGCTAAACACAAAGGTAGATACACTGGCGTAATTTACACTCTGACCACTAGATGGTGACAAACCTTCACAGTTTGTAACACCACAAGTCCTGTAAATTTACACAAAACAAGCATCATCATGATAATCTTATCTTTCTTTTGTTCAATACTTTGTGATGCTGACACAAGTAAACCAGAAACACTGCTCGAGCGCCTTTTAAAAGATGCTTTAATGTGCTTTTTTACATGGTCTCTCTGCACATGCAGCACTAAATATTGTGTCCACCATCTGCAGTTTTCACTGTGTGCGCTTTGTTTAGCCTATTTGGTACTTCTATCCAATAGTTTTTTGAACAGACTGTTTTAGTTGTGGCGCCTTCAGTAAGTAGCCTACTTGCTAACCCTCTTCTGAAGTGTTGTGAAGCTGCCGTCATGCTGAATGCCAGTAATCGGTGCAGTGACATTATCAAGACCACCTCCTTAACTTGACGACCTCAGATAAACAGCCACAATTTGATTCAATACTGTTTTCCAAGCATGTTAAAGTCAAATCAAATAATGGTAAAATATTGACCATATATGGCTCTCTGGAGGGGATTATTTCTGTTGATGTGTGCCTGATACCGTCCAAGACCCTGCATTTTCCAGAGATTATGTTTTTGATAGGATCAGCAGATTAGAGGCGCATCCCAGCGTTGCCTGGAGGCAGTGAGATTCCTTGTAGGTTTTTTCCCTTAGAAAACTTCTTATCTGGTTTCCCCTATCTGCCCTGTGCCCTTTCAACATATGGCTGATCCTTGCCTGGATTACTCAAAAAGTCTCAAAGCAGCAATGTGACATTTCAATAGGACTTTAGGATGTCTCTGCCTCAATGCTGTGGTCGTACCTTAAAGAAAGACTACTTTGATGATAAATTACCTTCTGAAACAGGCCCAGCGACTCTTTTTCAGCATGCTGCACAGTTTGACAGTGACTCATTCTCAATTGACTTTTATTCTTGAAGAGGCACAATTTTATCGATTGCAAGTTTAACTTATAGCTTTTCTAAAAGCATGATTTTATCAACAATGGCATCTGTATTTGATAAAATTGGTGCTATAAAACCATTGATGTTTTGATTTGTTCTGTGTCATCAAAACAGGCTTTTACTCTTAATATGTGACTTGTGACAGCGAGCTATTGTTAGACTTTCAACACTGTAAAACCTAACATTTATGAAGCTTCTCCAAACCCATGTCATGTATCCAGTAAGGTAATATCAATGAGAGACCTTCACCATGGTAGTGTATTAGCAGTAAATACACTCTGAAGTTTACCATAAAATATTTTTTCCATTTATTAAATTAAAGCTTAAGGATTTTTTTTTTATATTGCCCACAACCCCAATTTTGTACTTGATAATATTAAATTATTAATATAATATTTATTATTCCAAAAAACTTAAGGAATGTACTGCAGGTACAGATGTCAAAACTTGACATTTCAAGCGATGTCTATTCCAATTGATTTCATTTATATATGACAAAGGGTTCACAGTGTGAAAAAAAAAGTCTTGGCATTTAGTCAATTTTCATTTAGTCTTTTAAAAACATCATAAAAACAAGATTAAATACTGGAGAAGCAACTTCGCAGGTTATTTGAATACCTGTTTTCAGAAGACTAATAGACACATTGATTTTACTTGTTTTAATCATATTTATTAATGGCCTAAAAAGCAGGTTAATTTAAAAAAAAAACAAGTTAAAATAAAAATGTGTGTGTAAACCCCTAACCCTTTAAAACATAAAATCTCTAAAAGTCCTATTGAGGATCTTAGTGAAAATTTAGATTTTTGTTTTTCAGTGAACTCAACCATGATTCATCTGATACATCTTCAAAACCCATGACTGTTCTCTAAATGTAATTAAAAGAGAGTGGCTGCAGACAAAATATTTGGACACGTGTGTTGTGTATAATTCAACAGAGCAATGTTATTTTCATTTGAAAGGAAAGATCTCTCCGTTAGACTGAGATAAAGGAGTCATGTTTCATCTTGCTTCAAAATGCTTTTACTTAGAGCGTAACTGTTATTGCTTCCATCCGATCGGCAAGCCACTAAAGACCGCTGTATTAATACAGTCCAAATCATCACACGTGTGGCCCATCACAGCAGCTCATAAGACTGTGAAGTGACTCATGATGAGTGTTGATCTCAACCACAGAACTGACTGTTTATTTAAATGGCCTGCATGAGCCATGTTGCTTTGGTAGTTTCAAAGGCTCCCATTCAGCCAGTGATGCCGTCAAACCTGCGTCATTTGTCTTGAACAAGGCGACCATCACATGACGCCTCTTAGCTCCTTTTCGTTTCATGTGGATGCCATCTAAAGGAGACTCTTTCAGCTTTGTAATCGCCCAGAAGGGGAGATGCGCATGTGTTTTCACCGCTGCCCGGAAAGGGAAATTACCGTAATGTGCCTAAAAAGTAGAGTATTTTGTTTTTAACGCGGTTTAGTGGCTTTTCTCTGAAAGTTGATGAATCATGTAACAGCGCCGGCCAAGTTTAGCACGCAAGCTGTTTACTCTGTTCAGGGTGAAACTTGAGCAGATCTTGGGAGGAAGGTGAGATGTCCGAGGGCAATGAGGCCTTTTCATTGCTGCGTGACTCAGATAAAGCCTGACGGGGACAATGCCTCCTGCATGTGGAGGAATTTGGCATTTTCCAACATTCTCTCGCTTTCCTTCCATCTGTAGTCCTGCAAATGACTCAAAATTGATTTGTATCTCCGACACTTTCCACGCTATTCTTACAAAATAGTCCAATCGCCCATCATCTTGTCCCATGGCCAGTGGCTGCGTGAGAAGCCTCCGTCCGGCAGAAAGTTTGTGGAATTTATTGCTTCTAATAGATTGATTGGATGATTGTGTAATTCGATTTGATATCCAGTGGCTGCCAGGAAGCCTTAACCAATTGAATCAGAGTGCGATTAATGGGAAGATTAGTTAATGTGATTGAGGGGTTTGCTGTTCTTAACATAGTCTTTCTTCAGTAGGGTGATGATACTTCACAGAATGATGCTCAATCTGACTGTACTCAAGAGCCTATTGATGTATGTTGGCACTGCCATCCGACAACAAATTTAGGAGCTTTAATTTTTAGAAACAGCCATCCAATTCATGATTCTGTCCCTTTTTTATGTTTTGTTTGGCATTAGCTAAGAAATTATGCAATGCAAGATAAGAATCGAACATGATTGCACAAACTGCAGGCGTAATATCTGGTTTTGTAATCGGGGTTGTGATTCAGAAGAACTCTTGTAAGCTTACAAGTGTTGCTCTCACAGCTCTAATTACCCCTCTTTTATCATATGCTTTTATTACCTCTGAAATATTTTCACATGCGACGTTACGCACATCGGCTCATTGTTCACAGCCTTCACATTTAATATAATGTCTGTTTGATATGGATGCCTGAGCATTAACTCCCACTAAAATTTTACAGCATGCCTGTGAGGCAGCATGCAATGTGATCTCACCTATTATGGGTTTCCTATTCCAGACTCTGTTGAGTTTTGCTCTGTGGCCTGCCCACCCTTTCAAAACACTGGAAGTATCAGATAATAATACTGTGGGATTTTGATGTATCATATAATGAACGAAATGTCATGGTGTTTATTTATGCATATCATCATTGGAATGAAACCCAGGACCTTGTCATTGCTATCCACAAGTCTGAGGTCTTGTGTCACCGCTTTAGATGCCAAAAGGAAACGACAAACGGTGCTAATATAAGTTCACAATAAGTCAGGATCATAATTCCATCACCGTGACTTTATCGAAATCTCAGATGGCCAGACTGTGATTCATCTTTTATAAAATGTTGATGTCCATGAGCTTAAAGACTGTCGTGTACACAAGTGAGTCTTTAAAAGCTTCACTTATATATGTAATATAATTATATAGAGCTCATAAAAGGCTTCCCAGCTAGCAGGAAACGTTCTCAGAACATTGGCTAACATTTCCTATTTGGTTAATGTTTTAAAGAAATGTTCAAAGAACGTTTTAACTGTAACATTTTGAGGATGTTTTGGGAAATTTGTTGAGATAAAAGATTATACAATGTTCCATAATAACAAAGGAGGAATATTATCAAATCAATGTTCACAAAATGTTTTGAGGATATCATGAGGCCTGAGATGACGGAATGTATTTTATAAAACGTTCTTGTAATGTGACGTGTTAAAGCAAGAATGTTATCCTTCGCAGCAAAAACTCCAGTGTTAAATTAACTCTCCTGGGAGTTTATTTGACTCCACCCTCAAAGAGTTAAAGTGTTCAAATATGAGTGTTAAATGAACACTGAAGAGTGTTAAAATTAATTAGATAATTATGCTATTAATTGTTTGATGATTGACCATTATTGAAGACACCTGATGTCAACAAGCAGAATCAGTAATGGAGAAAATCTAATTTTAAGTCACCATTATGGTGATCAGTGTTTGTTTTAGTTGGGCTCTTGACCTTATTGACATTATTAACTTTAGATTTTGTTTGGCTGTTATAATTTAGTTGCAACTGCCACATGAACAAAGAGAATGGTGTTCAGGTGGTGATGGTTATGCTTAGCCGTAATCATGATTTGACTTGAATCACTAAACATCATTAGCCGCGTTTCCACTGCCGGGCCAGGGCCGGGCCGTGCTAGTGCGTGCCAGGGCCAGTCGCGTTTCCACTGTCACTTCCGGGGCTTGATCGGGGCTTCCTCAGGGCCAACGGCCAGGATTTCTGGCCCGTCGAATACCTTGGGCCAGAGGGGGCCAGCTCGGGCTAGAGGCGTGTTCAAGGTAAAAGGCGGAGTTTATCGGTGTTAAGGAACGTTATGATCTGAAGCAAGATGCACATAGGGGTGTCCATGTTTAACCGATTAACCGTTTAAAATTGCATAACATTTTAATTTGAAATGTAGGCCTATGCCAAATGCTGCGCAACAATATATAGGCTATATATAGCTATACATATCGACGAATTTTCAGATATTTGTTTGATTTTTTTGCCCCTTAAACATTTAAAATATTTGACAAATTAATATGAAAAAAATATATATTTTACTGGTTTTCTGAGGCCAAATTAGAACCTGGAAATGATATTTTCCCCGCAGTGCTGAATGAGAAGAGCCGTAACCACATACAGAAAGGGTATTTATGGGTGATTTATACACTCTAAAAAATAAGATGTTGTATTTAATTAATAAAGTTATGTCAACCGGTCCCACAAAACTTAGTTGCTTAAATGTAAAGGGTAATATACAATTAATCCTAACATAATGTTTTAAGTAAATCGTTCATAACTGTGTTAATTAAATGGAACAATGCACAATTATTTTGAATAAATGTAAATTATTGCCTTGCATTTAATGACTATAGCTTGAACTAACATGACCTGATTAAGTTAAATTTATTAAACAGAAGCCATTTTAGGTATCTGTGTAGTCCATTTGTGTTGATTGTACTTAATGACTAGAACTTCGTTGCTGTTAAGTCAAGTCAAATTTATTTATATAGCGCATTTTACAATACAGATTGTATCAAAGCAGCTTCACAATGATAACATGAAATATACAACACAGATCAATAATATAAACTGTTAATAAAAATACTCAAGTCACTTTAACTTTATTCACCTTTGGTTTTGAAATATTAGTCAAAGTAATTTTGACCTTCAATGTGCATTACTATAGCTGGCACTGTCATGACTGACACAATTATGCAAAGTAAGCAAAACTTACAAATGCAAAGTGTACAAATAAAATTGAAGACATCAACATAAATACACATAAAATGCAAATAGACTAATTTAAATTAATCAACTACAGTCTTGTTTGCTTATTCCAAACATTATTGATCACACCTTTACCTTGTCCAGCAGCAGTCCAAAAATAAAGCAGCAGTCAACAAAAGGCCAGGTCCAGTCTTGCCTGGTGCAGGTGATTTTACTCATGCAGTTTGTTTTTGAGGACCTGCACTTTAGTGGAGAGCTTGTTCTCATCCATCCATTTCCATTAACACTTCCTGAAGAAATTCGAAAGTATCGCAGCTCCATGGGATAGCTCAAGTTTAAACAGTAGATCAAGCCAAACAGGACTGCACATCCATTTGTAACCTCTCTCAGATCTCGCAGCACTGTGCAGCCTTCAATGACGATGCCAACATCCTCAGGTGGATCTGTAGCATCTGCTCCATCATGTCGAACAACATAGAGACCCAAAGCCAGTTTCTCCATTTCCGTCATTGCATCAATACCAATATCCTCGATAGCCTATGACAAACAAAGAGACCCATTATTAATTATGCATATTTGACACTAGTAACAAACTAAAAAGATGTTGAACATTCCACCATTTTTTATATTAAACTATGTTATTCCCTTAACTAAGATGAGTTGATGGATACCTCTCTCATCTCAGTGCTCAGTGCTCCTTAATAAGGCTGCCAGGCTTTTCATTTCAGTCCGTCGTACTTCAACACTGGGATTCTGTGGGAAACCAGCAACTGATTTTGAACATTTTATTTGAGGAAACTGCCATTATCACATTGACAAATCTATTATGACCTTATTCTACCAAGTTTTTAATTAATTGATTTATGCAATTTTAATTAAATATCAATTGTAAATCTGTAGTTTATTTGTCATCAATTTGTCAACTGCGTGATATACACACTCATTCCATTTAAGGATAATATTTTGAGAAAATAATTTCACTATTTAGCAAGCCCTAATTTACACAGATACCTCAAGTGTTTCTCAAGCTTATACCATTGACACATTGAAGGAGGCAGTATTGTTCAGTTTGAACTAAAATATACGTAATTGAATGGACAAATGAACAATTGCATCAGGCAATTCAGAAAAGCAGATTCAACATTTCACAAGCAGAATTACAGATGTACAACTGACATTTCATGATAAATCTGCACAGAATATAAAGCATCCTTTTCGTAAATTAAAAACATTTACAGAAATACCTCTATTTGTACAAATCATAGAATTTTGTATTTGTGATAGCAAGTCATATTTAGAGTAATTAGTTTTAATGTAGTAATTATGTTTAGAGTAAATGTTAAACCCCCAGGGTCAGAGCCCAAAATACACCCAAAACACATACCTTGTCCATTTCCGCAATGATTACGTCGATATCGCGTCTTGCTGTTCCCCCCTTCTTTTTGAATACCCTCAATGGCTGGTTGGAGTAATGATCCAGTCGGGACATAAAGGTTGAGAACAGGGGGGCTGTGGTGATGAGGGTGAATTCTGCATTTACCTGAAACGTATTAAAACACAAATTCAAGTTAAAACAAAATATGTCAAACTCTGTGGGCTACATCTGGCCGTGGTACAATTATATCCAGTTTGCCTCGATAGTGGAGCTGGCGTGGCCATAATAATAATATTAAGACAGCATAACAGTACCAGTTCTTAATTTTGGCCCTCTCTGTAACTTTGAGTTTGACACCCCTGGAAGGGAACATGAGTTTGCTTTTGGCTAAATGTTTTTAGTTGGAGGTTCAATGTGGGCTATCTGTAACCATTTTATATGGATGTTTGTGTAATGTGCATTGTAGGCCTAATATAGAGCAGAACAACCATATGCATGGATTCTTATGACATTGCCTCCAAACCTTTGTCAATTAAATATTACTCATTTGTTTAAAATTAATACCCTAATACAGTATTTAGACATTAATTACACATATTTAAATTAAATACAGATGATGAATAATACTTTACCTGGCTCTCAGAAAACAGGGCTGGCCATCTGTTTTTGAACTCTGCTATGAAGGGCATATCTTTAACAACTTCCTGTCTTCTATAGGCAAAGGTTCTTTCCATTTTACTTTTGATTAGCTGTTGGTTGTTCTTCTTTTTCACCTCCAATATCAGTGCTTTCCTTTCTTCCTCAGGCATAACAGACAGACAGCAGCACTTATTTAATAAAGAGCTTAAAAAACAACAAAAACAATATTAGTTTAATACTATAGCCTACTGGAGGTAAAAAAAACATTAAAAAAGAATATATCTAGGCCATGTGTTATGTTAAGCTAAAGTTAAATGTCAATAAAAAAGTTTAAAGCTAAATTACAACTAAACTAAAAAAAAAAAAACACCAAATTCTCACTATTTCCACTTCTAACACACTTACTATGACAAGGATACATGCTAATGCTGTGTAAATTAAGCTAGCAAGAGATCGTTTTAAAAGGTGTGCATGCTCCTGCCGATCGACTGTCCTGCACAGTTTAAAACCTAATCAAACACACCTGAAGCAACCAATTAAGGTCTTCAGGATCACTTGAATTCACAAATTCAAGGCAGGTGTGTTTGATTAGAATTGGAGATGAACTGTGCAGGACAGTCGATCGGCAGGAGCAGGGTTGGGCACAAGTTTACAGCTAAGCGCAAAAAACATCATCTGTTGTCACAAATGTAAAATTGTAAAATATATTACAAAAAAAAAACATTCTACTTACCAAATAGTTTATGGATGATAATGGATTCAAAAGTTGCCCAAGGACAGGTGGAAAATGCTATTATCTTCTCGTGCATCATGTGCGAGATTGAATGTACGGAAAGCGCTTTGGGACAATCTTCAACCGCTAGTTGGTTTAAAATGATCTGGTTACGTTGGTTTAAATCTGTGACATTTTGTTGACTTGAAATATTATACTATTAATTTGATGCTATGAAACTCGCTTATTTTTACTGCATAAACATAATACTTTTAGTAATTTTACCATAAAACTAGTATTTAAATTAAACTACACCCATGCTTCATTTCAGGCTATAATAAATGTGTCTGATAATAAAATAATATAAAATAACGAGGCATTAATTGTTTATTAATAAACTATTGTTTTCTAAATGATTTTCGGCTAAAAACATATCTCCATCTCCGGATGCACATTTAGAGAGAAATTAAGCTACATAAACATAGAAGATATTGGCTTTCGATTCGAATTTGTTCGTTTTAAATTGGACATTTAAAGCTTTAATCTACAAAGGATATAACCCCTGTAGACTAAAGCTTTAAATGTCCAATTTAAAACGAACAAATTCGAATGCGGTGGCTGTTTCAGGTCTCGCGCTTCAGTTCACGGAGATCATGAAGCGCGCCTTGATTAATTGTTAAAGCACAACGTTTTCTTGTTATAAATAAATGTATTTGCGAATAATGTATTATTATTTTCTGTATGACCAGAAATTAAAGAGTATTTTAAGTTGTTTCCACTGAAAGAAATGCAATGAAACTGTTCACATGGGCGTCTCGCAGCCATCAGTGCGTGCTCCACACATGGATATGCGCTGATATTTGTCAAAAATATTGTGTTTATTTGTGCTCTGTTCCTTTTTTGGATAAAGACGTCTTCTACATATGCAGCCTAATAAAATGTTACAATAATGATGATGATGGTTATTATTATTATTATTATTATTTGCAGACACGGAGTTTTTGTGAAATGGACGTTTTGCTTATTTTCAATTGGCAATTTCAGTTTGAAGGGTGATGGAAATATGGGCTTTAACTGCTCCGTACTTGCTGCGTTTTATTTCTATAAATTAATTTCGTTTCAAATGGGGTCCAATCAGTTATTAAAGGTGTTAAAAATTTACTCTGTATCTCGAGGTTGCGGCGCGCACACTATGCACCGAGTATTAACCGATGGGCCTCGGTTAACGATTAATAACTTGAAAACGTGCCCGCAGCCCTACTTGTTATATCGCGCAAAAAAATCGCTGCTTGAAATAGAGAATCGCCTGTACTGGTCTCGGGACACTATTGCAGCCACTACGGCAGTTGAGTTAATATACATGCTATCTTCCTAATTTAAAAAATAAATTAATTCATAATACCCGCTGAAATGGGTTGGGTTTTATGACGTTTGATCCTGAAAGGCGTGTTAGGGGTGGGGTCTGGGGCAGCGCTGTGGGGCTACTGGCCCGGCAGTGGAAACGCAAGCCCGGTGCTTGAGGCCCGAGGCCACTAGCTCGGCCCGGCTCGCTGTTAGCTCTGGCCCAGCCCTAGCCCGGCAGTGGAAACGCGGCTATTTACATTTAGCAGATGCTTTTAACCAAAGTGACTTACAACAGAGGATTACAATTTAGATAACAGCAGCCTGGTGATTCTACAGCATACAATTTGTAGCATTTTCTATAGACCGCTAAATATTATTAATATTTCTGTTCAAAAGATTTAGATTTTTTTCAAGATTTTTAGACATCAAGATTCAGCCTGTGAATATCAACAATGGCGATGATAATAAACCATGTTCCAGTGCATTCTGGGTGCCACCAATCAAAAGTCATTCATGGCTCCCATCAAGCATTGCAGTATGAATAAATTATGATCTGAACTGTCCTTTTCCTAATTAAATATTTCATTTGTCACCATTGTTGAGATTCATACACTCATGCTTGATGTCTGTTTGTACCTATTATTTTATCAGAACAAGTTTTAAGAAATCCTTTGGAATATATTGAAAGTTCTGGCTCTTACTGTATGCTGTAGAATCACTGTGATGCTGCAATCGACAATATAAATATAAGTCAGAGATTAGGCTCTAAATTAGTTTTGTGATTCAGGTAAAATTATGATTACGTCAAAACATAACCAACAACTTCAGATAACCTTTTCTCTTTGTTCATCTGGCAGTTATAAGCCAGTTACAAAAGTCAAACAAAATCTAAAGTTAAAAATATAAGGGTCAAGACCCAACTAAAGCACACACTGATCACCATAATGGTGACTTTAAAATAGTGATTTTCTCCTTCATTGATTCTGCTTGTTAACATCAGGTGTCTTCTATAATGCTCAATAATCACTCAATTAATCACTTAATTATCTCATTTTATTACTGGAGTGTTTGCTGTGTACCTTTTAGGAGAACATTCCGGGAACCAAAATAAAACTACCCGCTGAAAACATTATTAGAACTTCATGGTAATGTTCCCTCTATGTTTTTAGAACAAAACATTTCTAGCTGGGTGCCAGTTAAAATGAGTAGATCGGCTTGGACCCAGAAACCGTATTCCTTACGCCACAACTTACAGTAAAAAGCAGATTACCATTATCAACTAATAATTTTATAATTTACCTTAATTATTGTGTTAACTTGCATATTATCTGAGCTATAAAGCAGTTTGAATCAAGTTTTACAGTTATTATTTTGTAATGGTGATAACACACAGAAAAGGTTAGTAAGCAAATATTATTTTTTTATCCTAAAGTCGTTACAGGTAAGATTTTGATGTTTTGATTTTTTATAGAAAAGATTTTTTTTGTGATAATCATTATCACCTTACAATAGTTAAAACTTTTGTTTGATAATGCAATGCATGCAATTCAACTGTACATACAGTACACAATGCAGTTTATCGCAATAAAAAAGTTTGAGGCATTGAAAACACTCTCAAACTGTTTTGTTATGCTGCATTACACATTCTGTTTTCAATAATCTTTTGTAATCATTTTATTTTGCATTGCAGTGTTATGTCAAATTTATTTTATTTATTGCATTATTTTATTGTCATGTTACCCTGAAGTTTCATTTTCATTATACTGTGTGGACAATATTTTTTTTTCTCTGTCTCAGAGGACACAAGCTTGGTTTCCCACATAAAATATATTTCTCTGCAGCAGCTTGTTGACTGATGTGCTTCTGCTCTTTACGTATTTAAATGAGGTTCAGTGCCTTTCTTATGTGACATAACCTATATGTCAAACCACTTAAAGCCCATGTAAAAACCTTTCTTTGTTGGTTTTGAACAGTGCAAAGTGCTCTTTACGGAGATGGAGTTGATCCATGATCTATGGTTGGGGGAGAATAATGGAATAGCCTACTTGGGTGGTGGGCAATATTGACTAAAACACTTCAATCTGTTTTACACGCAATTTGTCTTTGGAACAGTTTAGGGCATGTCATAATGAAGATGATAAGGTATCTTGGGACGAAAATGCTCACGTTATGCATGCAAATGAACTTTTCACTCTTTTCTGATCTACAGCTGACCCAGCTGGAAAAGAGTTTTTCCTTGACTACACAGATTACAGCAGAGCTCCACCGGCAGAGGAGTCTGGCTTCCTTATCAAAAACACCCCAGATCATGGGAAGTGAGGTTCGATAGCTTCAGGAACAGAGATAGCTCTTTGAACACATGAGATTCAAGAGTGTGTTAATTCAAGATTCAGCCCCATATTCAATCTGCCCTTCTCTCTGTTTGCTCTTGATAGACAACACAGATAGATGTGGGCATTATCTTCTTGTACTTTCTGTGACAGTTTGAGTCTCGGTAAACAGTTTGCTGCATGAGTGCAACGATTAGCATGTCAACAAACTGTCGAGGCAGACATATTTATGTGGCTGTATAAACAAAGAAGTCTTCCTAATATGCGAAAGCTTTGAGAAAGCATCTAAACTATGCTGCAACTCGGGTAATTAATGATTTATCAAGGAATGTGTATATTAACTAATTAAAGATGATCTGATAATTTACACTAGCACAAATTCCAGGGTGGCGTATTCTGGTTTATGATGACATTGCTATGATGTTTATTAACATTACTGTGCTTGTATATCCAATTAAAAAAAATGGTACTGGTTTAGGGCTTTTAAGTTCTCTTGACAGTGTTTGTAACATGTTTTCAACACAAGAGAAAATAATTTAGACTAATAATATTAAACTAGAGTAATGATTTTCACAATTCATATAAATTGACAAAATTGTGTTTACAGTAATGGAGGTCTGTAGGTATTCTAGAGAGTTTAAAAGCAGAAATATGCAGTTAATAACTTCTTTATTAAAGGAGTAGTTCACATTAAAAAAAAAACAAACTTTTGCTGATAATTTACTCACCCCCATGTCATCCAAGATATCCATGTCATTCTTTCTTCAGTTGAAAAGAAATTAAGGTTTTTGATGAAAACATTCCAGGATTTTCTCCATATAATGCACTTGGGAACCAAAGGGTTCAAGGTCCAAAAGACAGTTTCAACGCAAACTCAAAATAAACAAATCTTTTTTCATGTCATTTAGTTCATTCAACGAATGAAATGAACGAATTGACTCGGAAAAAGATTCATTCATTTTGATGAACGAGTTCGAACAGGAGAGTCACGAACACGCATCACAGAACAGAGCAAGGCGAGCATTGGAGCTTATAAAACTTAAACTTTTTTTGAATGAGCGATCGTTTCGCTTGAAAAGACCCTTATTCATCGTCTGGAATCGTTTAAAGCCCTTTGAACAGTTTGAAATTTGTACTGAAACTGTCTTTGGGACCTTGAACCGTTTGGTTCCTTGTAAAGTGCATGGAGAATGTTTTCATCAAAAACCTTAATTTCTTTTCGACTGAAGTTAAGAAAGACATGGACATCATGGATGACATGGGGGTGAGTAAATTATCAGCAAACGTTTTTTTTCTGTTGAGATAAGATAATAAGATAAGAAGATACTTTATGAAGACAGTTCACTTTGTGTATACAGGCGGCGCCGTCTTTGGAAAACAGTCACGACAAGTCAAACCACGAACGACGTGCTGAGTGATCTGAACTGTATGAAGTTCAGCGAACTTCTGAACTGTATGAACGGCATTCGGGGATCGACTTAACGAGACTATTTTCTAAGATGGCTTCTGTCTGTATACACGAAGTGAACTATCTTTATAAAGTATCTTCTTATTAAACGGGCTGTACACTTACAAAGTTCTCAATGCTTCGTTTTGCATGCAGGGACCCTCATTATGTTCCTGTGTGAGTGTGGGGCTATTTTGAGCC